AGCGATTATTTTTCTTCCCCCTTCCCTCCCCTCTATTGGCTCAGTGAATAAGGGAGAAAATGTTCCCATTATGGAGTTTCTAACAAATGCCTGAAGAAGCCTTCAGAGTCTGTCGTTTTCTGAGTATCTGTGGTGCTTGGAAAAGTCAAGTCAACATCAGGAATAATCTGATGTACCACATGCTCACACCACAGACAGGCATCATCTAATCCATTCTTACCAAGAAAGCCCAAAGGTCAATCAGTATTTCCCACGCAGAGCAGAGCCACAGATTATGAGTGCTAGAAGACTACCCCGTCATTAACCCTCTCCCACCCAATCAGCCGTGCATGAGCAGAGTTGCTTCAGAATCAGAACAAAATGACAGGACACTACGTTTTGGTTCAAGCAAGTTTCTGTTACCCACCATCACTTCTTGTCCCATCATTAATTTCATATGACTGTGAAGTAACAGTACTCATTCCTGGGTGATGGATGAAACGCTATTAATTTATTTTCAGTCCGTGTAAGAATTGCTGGCAAAGAGTGGGGTCAGAACTTTCCTTTGGTCATACCACCTGCTGTCCGGGCACCGAGAGAATTGTCAATATGCATGCTATGCATGTTTTTAAATGTTTTAGAATGTTCAAAAGAAAAATCTTGAATGATTGTATAAAGTTTCTCACTGAAAATGATGGAATCAGGGCTAGTTGTAGCTTGCAGGTTAGGGTTTCACTAAGACGGAATAGCAAAGGACAGGGGCAGCCCTGGGACTAGGAGTGTGGCAGATACATTCCAGCTGGGAATCAGGGAAAGGGAGATGTTTACTGCCCAATGAGACAGAGATGACCTAGCCCAGGACATAGAGAGAGGGAAATAGGAACTAGCTAGGGTAACCGAGAAGATTGGGAATTTCTCTTACCCAGAAGGGGTCTAAGCCACAAGTGGGAGCGGGCACACGCTGGACAGGCAATGATGCACGGCACAGCAAAGCAAGTCAGCTTGTCCCTCTAAGGCTGTAATTAGAGGAGGGAAGTATCAGCCTAAAACGTCTATAATTGGCCAAAAGTGCAAAATCCTCGTTGTTTAAAAACTATTGGACACTATCACTATGACATTTTAAATATGGTGACTGTGCATATGTTCTTCTTAATCTTCAAATCTATGTGTTCTCTTCCCTTCAATATTGATTAGAGAGTACTTTATCTAATTTGAAAATGTGCATTGATCTCCTACTACTTATGAGGCTATGTGTTCAGGGCTGCAAGGGATATGAGAATGAATAGGACACCATCCATTTCCCTTAAAGGACTTACAGTGCAATAGATAGACTTGACAAGGCACAAATCACTACAAAATGAGACAAAATCTCATAGGTCACTGAAAAACAAAAACAGATCCTATTTGGTTCATTGCAATTCATCTAAATTAAAATTGTAGGTTGCTAAAAAGTAATACTTTTACAGAAGGAATGCTTGATTTGGTTCTGTTTGCCCATTTTCCATTTTCTGTGCTGGAGGGACCCCCAAGACATGTATTAATAGTGATTTGAACAATTTATTATACCATACCCCTCTAGTGGCCACTTTGTAAACTGCAGCAGACATTGCACTACCTGGAGAAGACTGCCAATTTCAAAACAACACGTCAGCCAGACCAACTCTGTTTCAGTGAAAGCCAACGACACTCAACTCAAGAGAAAATGAAATTTTAGAGGAAAAAAATACCCCCCACCCCATGTCATGTGTCACAGACCCAGGAAAGGTACTATGAGGTGGTAAAGAATGTAGACTCTGAGACCAGATGAATGGGTTCAAATCCCGGCTCTGCCATTTTGCAGATGAGCAGACTGAGGATAACAGTGGTACCCAGCTCATATGGCTGTTATGAGAATTAGAAGAGTGACTACTTAAAACATTAAGAGTGGTGCCTTATCACAGTAAGAGCTCAATAATTGTTTTTATTAGTTGTTGTTACAGTATTTTGTGCTAAAAACTAAACCAGTGTTGTCTGTATTTCCTTAAATTTCCTGAAAGTAAGATTTAAAACTAATCATTAATTCAATAAAAATTATTAAATATAGCAAGTATATATATTTGGGTATCAAAGAGGCGTGGCTTTAAATCAGATCTTTGCTACTTACCAGTTGTGTCTCTAGGGCAAGTTATCTCACCGCTGGAGCCTCAGTTTCATTGGCTAAAAATTGGAGTTATTGATAACATTTCGATTCTTCACAAAGTTATTTTAAGGATTCTATAAATTAACGCATGCAGTGCACTGAACAAAGTAACATGTTTGTTGCAAGAATTTATTAAATAGCAGCTGTTATTAAGGTTGAAGGCAAAACTATAAGATGTATGAATCCATAATCCGTATTTTCCATGACACTATACGATTGAGTGATGTCATTTTAGAGGAAATTAAATTTCAGATTTGAATGGCCAAAGAGGAGGGTAGATTCAGTGTGAGTGTTGAATCAGAGCATCATAATTAAAACAAAATAGGGATTCAAGTGGGAAATTTGAGAGGGGTGGGGATGCTAGAGCAAGTTCAGGTCAGAGTCAGAGAGTAGGTCTGAGCCCTGGTACCTGTGACATCATGGCTGGGACTTATGGATCAGCCCAAGAAGCTGACTGACAGCCCTATTTTGGGGAAAAGATCAAGAAATAATATATATTATAAAATGTATATTATAAAGATATATATATAAATATATATATATGTATATATAGTATGTGAATAGGAACCAAGAGGTTTGGCTGGACCTGGTTACTGAGGACTAGTTTCCCCCAGGGAGCAGCTCACTCAAAATTTGTACTCCCCTCTCAGCTACACTGCCTTGGGATCAAGGAGTCCCCTAGTCCAAGTCTGGTTAGTAAAATAGCCTCTGACCACAATGGATGCAGAAGGTGTTCTGGGTGGGACCACGCACAGCAACTCAGGTGGGAGTAATCATCTTCCATCTCAGTCTATGCAGTTCTTTGCCAAATTCTACTTTGTAAACTTTATTAATCATTTCTAAATTCCTCTTATTTTATCACTGGCATTTTCTGGCATTTTCAGCCAGATTTCTTTTCCACATGTTTGCCCATTTCCTGTCACAAGCTTTGTTCTCTGTACCTTCTTTCCATAGGGGCACATACTCAATGTATCTTCCTCTCTCCAGATTTCCATATTCTGCCAAAAACTTGGAACCTGTAGTATACAGGACAACTGGGTTTTTCAGTGCCTTTTTAGCATATTATATCTCAAAGTCCAAAACCTAGTCAAAATATAATATGATTAGCATTACCAATACACTGCTTTTATAGAATTTATGGATTTAAAATCAGGAGATTTTGAATCCTGATTTAAATTATTTCTCAATAATCTTCAATAATTCTCAATATTATTGAGAATTATTTCTCAATAATACATGAAAAAATCTCCTGATGTCTTGATTATATTCTTCACTATCTCTGAGTATTAAAATGCAAAATTAATTGTTTTAAATGTAACATCAGTGGAATATTACGTGCCAGGAATAAGATTTCTCATAGTGGTCTCATATTTTCCCCCAATTAAATTTATCCGGGACTCCTGTGGTACCGACAGGACACAGCTGAGTATTTCTCACCTCTTTAGCAGCCTCATTGTCATTCCAGGGAGGTGACATTACCTCTTAGCCATTTGGAATTTTGTCCTCTTTTCATTACTAATTAAATTCATTTTTACAGAGTCATAAATTAATTATTTGAGGTAAAATTACTAAAATCTGTACTTTGTTCCAAGATCTTTTTTAACTTTGGGTAATTAAATTTAAGAGTTATCATGTTAATCTTTATTAGTACAGTATGTGAAGGAAATGACTGAGGGGAAATGAAAGACATCCACTTCTTAAATAGTAGGATAGGCTCTGTCTTAGGGATAGATTGAAAAATTAAAAAGTGCTCATTCCATCAACAGTGTTCTCTCAATGTTCTGTAATTCTAGCATGCTAACTTGGACTGGTTAGGAAATGTGTTAAGCTATCTTTATTTATTTTTTTTTATTTTTAAAATTTGTATTTATTTATTTTTTGTTTGATTTTTTTTTTTTTTTTCTTTAAAGACAGGGTCTCACTCTCACCCAGGCTGGAGTGCAGAGGTGTGATCATAGCTCACTGCAACTCACTGCAACCTCAGACTCCTGGACTCTTTTATCCCCCTGCCTCACCCTTCCGAGCAGCTAGGACTACAGTCACACACCACCATGCCTGGCTAATTTTTTATTTTTTGTAGAGACAGGTTCTTGCTATGTTGTCCAGACTGGATATTCTTTATTTATTCTATTAAGGTATCTTTAGACTAGAGCAACAGAGGCCCAACTCAAAGTTCATTCGTTGTTTTAAGGGCATTTTCATTTTATAACCTCTCCTATCACTATTTTTTTTTCTCATGAGGCCAGCACAGGTAAAAAATGTTAATGTGAGACTTGGTTTCCTTTTTATGAACAAGCATATTTGATTCCTAATTGTTGGTGATAACTTGGTTTTCAACTAATGAATACAGCCTTGAGCATTCATAATCACGGAGAACAAGGACCTTAGTGTTATTTAAATATTTTACCCTATTGGATTAGTAAATGCTTTGTTAATTGGCTGATCCACATTTCTATTCAAAGAGCATCTTTAGATAAATGAAGCTTTTAAATAACACCCTCAGGAAAATGCTCGGCAAACATGCTGTGCCTTTTGCCGTAAGGTTTTCAGGATATCTTAGAGAAATCTTAAAAAGCAAACCTTTAGAAAAGAAGATTAGACCTTGTTGCAAAAGCCCATAACTCATCTTTCCCTCAGGACTGACTGACAAAACAGAGAAACATGATTTGGTTTTGCCCTTTGCTTTACGGGGATGATAGCCACTTAACTTCTATTATCCTGCAGCTGATAACTTTTACCAACTCCTACCCAACATGAAAGCAGATCTGTTTTCAAATGTTCCCTGTTCCCGGGCCTTCTACATTGGGGTAGAGTGAACTAACAGGTGACTTGTTCCGTTCAGCTCCCGGGTGACCGGCGTCCATGAGATGATGGGATGCATAAAGAGACGAGTGGATGACCTGACCCAACAGTGTTCAGCGCACAAGGAGTTTGCTCTTAAGAAACAACAAATAACAGCCTCAGTGGAGGGTTACCTAAGGAAGGTAGTTTCCCAAAATAAAACCTAAACTTCTAATTTGGTGATAATAGATAGTATGGCAACTGTAGCATGTGGGCATGGTGGGAGGATGGGGGTACATCTCCTTAGGCTTCTCTTATGTTCCACATTAGGTGCTATCATTGAGCAAAACAGAGTTGTAATTCACTGTTGCTCATCAACCATCCCTACCCCAGTTTGCCGAAACTAGATATCAGATCCTATCTGCCACCTCAGGCCTGAACATATATACACAACAGCAGTTCTTGCTTTGCACAATTCTGTGTCAACTGAATCATGTACATAGTGGAATAAGGTATTTGATTTACCTATGCTGGGCATGGTTCTCATATGCACATGTTTCGGTTGATGTGGTACCATTCAACAGGAAGACTGCAGTTAGATAGATAGATACCAAAAATTATGAGTTTTGGGTTTTTCCAGGAATAAATGGTCATTATTATACTTTATGGAACTAGACCAGTGCAAGTGGACACGGTCACTCTGCATAAAAGCATACTTGTGAAAATCCTCTGTGCAGAGTAAATACAACGGCCTGGTATCAGAGAATTTTATTTCCTATTTTCAAAGGGGAATAAAACCAGGGAGCTACATAATTCAACTAAATAAAAAATTACGTATCTATAGATGGGCTATAAAACAAAAATTAGTAATACCTCGTGACATTAATGCTAATGAGCCTTGCTGCAGAAGCTGGGTCTAGATTTTTCAATTATGTTTTCATTTGATACAATGGACTTACGTTCCTGAACTTACAGGAGTAGAATTAGTAGACTACACTAGGAAGGACATTAAATATCAATGTCTATTTAAATGGCTTCCCCAGCTGTTATTGATCCAGAAACTTGGGAATTTGAGCCTTGTTCTGATGTCTGGGTCCAAGGAGCTTCCAAATATGGCGGGCAGCTGTGATGCCGCATTCCCTAGAGCTGGAGAGTCGAGCTAATTTAGTGGTGATGGAAAACACAATAGGAACTCAAACAGCTGTTGCTACTTGTCTTATTGCCAGTTCAGAGCCAATTTGACTCTGGGAGTATGGAATCTAGGTAGAACAAGGGGACGAGGGATGTATTAATAACTTGAATGGAATAGCATCCTTCAAGGGTACTGTCATTCATTGATTCATATGTACTGAAGATCAAATTATAGTCCCCCAAGTTCATCAACTAAATGACCTAAATATCTCCCTGTGTTTTACTATTACATATAAAGGGTTGGCTGCTTCTCTAGAGTCCCTCAGCCTTAAATATAGCAACCAGTAGAGTGGCCTAATATCCATGCTCTCGACTTTTGCTTCACAATGTGCCTGTAAATTGGGTCCCATTCAACATACGGATCAATTCATCTCTGCTGATGTGTTAGCAAGTTCACTATCCTTTGTAGGTAATATAGATAATAAGTTTGTAAAGGATGTGAATGACTGCTTATATCTCATTGCTCTTAGTAAAAGAAATATTTTTAAACATGTCCCTTCTGTCAGTAGGTCTCTAGTATTGCCTCATATGAAGAGCAGCATTATTAAAATATGAAATTCTGAAATATTTAAAACTATTTTAGACTAAAATTGATATTATATATTTAAAATACATTGAAAATATATAGAGTAATATTTACTTTCCTTATACGTATGCATACATATATGTAAAAATATATTACTAAGACTGCAATATATTCTTTATTCCTAAAGGTGGAAATGTCAATTCAGAAAATTGGTCCAGTACTTTCTAATGCAATGGATGTTGGTTCCAGCCTTTCTGATTCAGAGAAGATTTTGAATGATTATCTGGACCTAGATATCCAAGTTAAGGTAAATAAAGTAATTATTATAATGGCTAGGATTTTTTAAATAGATTTTTTATATTCAATAGTTATAAAATGTAATCCTAGCTCCCTTGAGGGTTGCAATTTTAAATTAGTATGTAGCAAATAATGACTTAAGAATTCATACTAATATACATGTCTGAATTATTTATATTTATATGTGCATTTATTAGTGTGTTTGAGCTCACTGAAACTCAGCATTACAACCTGGTATTAAACACTCATTTGGCTCCATTCCCTTGCCTGGGCAGTGTTAGCAACTCCTTTTTGGGGTGCCAGAGGAAAGGACTATGCTTCTCCAAGACTATTTGTGATTTTCTGCTAGAGCAAGTTACTTAAAAAAAAAAAAAAAATTACTAGAAGCAACATATATTATTGCATGATTCCAGGAAAGCAAATAAAAACACAACTTTTTTTGTATACTCAAAATTCAGAGACAGAAAGTGCCCCACCCCCACCCTCCAGCACCTTCTCTAGCTTCCTCCTACGCCTTTCACTTGGGACTTAGGTTCAAAGATTCCTGCTAGCAGCTCCAAACCTTCGCCAAAGTCCCTGCCTGCCCCAGCAGGGTTTAGGAAGGTGAGCCAAGTGCCCTCCCCTGGCTCTCCCAGGCAGGCAAGAAAAGCCCCGTTACTCCAGTTCTCAGCAGAAGAGCCTCCTTCACGCACTGCGCCCCCATCGGAAACTCACAGATGCGCCAGTTTTTTTAATGGGGTGCTTTTTATTCATTATTTAAAATGCTTGAAACTTAAACTTGATGTAATTTTTTATTTTAAAAATTTTCGAAATGGCAAGGAGATTGCATAAGAAGAAATTCCCTGCTTCTCTCCTTCCCAGAGTGCTATCAGGAAGCAGAGCTTGTAAATTAAAATTACCGTCATTCAACACAGTACTTGGGAAGCATACTAAACACCAGTAGGGAGACAATCCCTCCTGCTGCAGATGAGAGCGAAGCTTTTCTCTTTCATTTTGCTTGATTTCTACCTTGGGCTCACATGAGATTTTACATGGCTCTTTCTATGACAATTATGTATGTCATGCCTACATTACCTACTCATCCATTTCATCAGTTGTTAGAGTTTGGAAATTGCACTCAGAAGAAAACGTAGGCAAGCACCCCTAAAGCAAGTCAAATCTGCTGACTTTTGAGGTTGTTGAGGCCTGCTATTTGACATTTCCCTCACACCTGTTTAAAAATTCTTCTCGATAGAGATTAAATAACTGATATGTTATCTTTTTGTAAATTAAAAACCAGTGAACAAGTTTTGTAAATTTGCCATCTCTTATATAACAAACTTTGTTTAAGAATTTGCTAGAGCTCTTGTTAAATTTCATAAAGCAATTCCTATGAATAATTAATTTATTTAAATTATGTAAAACATTTCTGCCATTTTGTCTTACAGTCTTTCATACCAAACAACCTTTCTTCTATTTGTGATACAGAAAATAGAAAGCTCTAAATTAGAAGTGTAGCTGATTGAGCCAAAGAATAATTTGAGGTGGTTTTCATTTTAAAATGCCTTTTTTTATTTTTAGAAATGTCAAAGTTGTACCCTTCTTTTATTGAGGAGATTCTTGGTCCAAGTTCAATTAATAATTGTAATAGATGTACGTGTAGAGTGTAATGAAATGTGGATGTTCCCGATTCTCCTGTCAGCTTGTGACCTCTTGTGCTTCGCCTTCATAGGAGACATCACATGAATTAGAAGCAGCTGCAAAAATCATGACGGAGAAAAATGAATTTGAACCTGATGAAGTGGCATCACTTTCTTCTAAAATTAAATGGCTAGAGGAAGAATTAAACATATTTGGCCAAAGCATCAGCTCCAGGTTACGAGTCCTGCACACTTGCGTGGCATTTCTAAAGTCATCAGAGGAGGTACAGTACTATGTGCTAACCCTCTTCCGCAGGGACCCTGCCCATGTTCCTGCTTCCCGTGGGAATATAATCTCTGCCTGGTGGGTAGTTTCAGATCTTCTAACCCAGTGCATGGACTCACTTTGTAGGCTTTTTATTTTTCAAGGCTCCATACAAAGGCTCAAAGAGTAAGTCATTTTAGTAAAAAAATATATACACATGTGTATGTGTAGATAGGTGTATGAAAAAATAAACAAAGTGGTTGTACTGGAGCACTTTTTTCTATGTCCTACAAATATTTACAATATCCTAAACATAGAACAAAATTGTTTCAAAATAGTCATCTCCTAAACCATGGATCTCTTTGAATACCTAAGCAATTAGTGTGGTTCATTGGAAATTATGGGCTTGGGTTCAGTCTCTGACCTGTCTTGTGGGATGCGTTTTAACAAGATACTTCTCAGAGCTTCTTCTGAGGCCTCATTTTGCCAGGTTATACAAGATAATCTCTATTATTCCCTCCAATACACTAGGCTTCCATCTCTCAAAGGTCCCAGTTTCTTGAAGCTGGTGTCAGTAAAAGTGCTAGGGTTCTACCTCATATAACCATGGTCCCAGTGCGCCCCATGCAAATGCAGAGCACTCTGCTGTTCCGGGAGATGGGTGCTGGTTAGTGGGAGGCAGAGCCAGCAGGTCCACTCAGGGGAAAGCCCACCCAAGATATGTAGCATGTTTGATTTCCATCTTCTCACCTCCATCCTCCCCATACCTCCACCTTACCTCCCACCACCACCATCCTGCCTATCCACTTCTCTTCTGTCTGATCTCCATTATAATATTCTCAATTCTTACCACTCTGGAGAAGCACACACCCAGTCCTGAAAATCTCAGGTAACCACTGGGTCCTTTTCCACATCTTTACTTGACTGTCATTTCTGACTTCTTTTTAGTTCTTGGCTCTGAACTCTCATGGTTCAGCAGAGATATTACAACTGATGGGATTATCCTGTTGATGAACATTTGTATGCAGGACTTGAAATGACAGAGAAGCTACGAAGAAGTGCTTGCTTTCTGCATCTTCCTTGCCAAAAATATACCTTCTTGGCTTCGAGTTAGGCGTCCACTTCCACAGCCTTTGGGACCGCAAGCCTCTTGAGAGCGGGAGCTTTAGCTTTGCAAACAACACTTTAATCAGAAGAACATTTTAGCTCCCCGCTTTCACTAAATCTGTTTTCCTGCCTGGCAGAGCCTTCCGTTGTTCCAATCCTGGCAATGCTCCCAGTCTATTATTCCCTTCCCCCTCGGGCTTTCCTCGCCAGCTCAGGGCTACTTATTTCCATGCCACTCTCCATCCCCTCAACTCCCTGCCTTCCCCCCAGTAGCCCTGCCAGCTCCCAGTACTAGATCAGTCCAACACTCTGTTTACTCAGCTATTCTTTCCAAGCTTCCATACACTCCTGAGGAAAATCATACAACTGTGCAACTGGCGCTGTTACAAATTTGTGGGTCTCTACTTCAGCTGGGTCCCCCGCATGTTCCTTAGTTGGCTCCCATTCAATAACTATTTTCAAGCATCCCACCCCGGTTTCTATCCCTAAGTCCCACTAGATGTGCTTACCTCATATGCCACTGAAGAAAAGTGAGGCCATTGACTTGTTCCACTTCACCCAGGCTCCACGGGCTTCCCTAAGGGGAGTGCCTGCTCCTGTCCAGCACGAGCCCAGAAGCATCCCCTCCCTGGATTCTCCTACATCCTTCAGGATCTAGCTCCAGCAATCATCCTCTAGGTTTTAAATTTGTCTTTTCCAATGCTTCCTTCCCCTTGCTCTACAGTTATGTCCAAACAATCTCACCCTCACCAAAGCTACCCCTCCATCGTTTTCCCTCCCTCCAAAGGTGGACTCTTTGGGAAGAAGACATCCCTTGCCCCTACTTGCCCATCCTCCCCAGTCCTCACCCCTCTGCAATTCAGTTTATTCCCTTCTCAATGCCCCCCATTGGCCACCTCTTCACTCCATTGAGAAGCTTCCTATGAGCTACCTACTGGATGACTGATGAAATGGTGTCTTTTCAGTCTTCATCGCGCTGAATCTTTGAACCATTTATTTGACCCCATTACCCACTCCCATCTCCTTCGGATTTTTTTAAAACAGATTTATTGAGGTATAATTTATATGGCACAAAATTCACCTATTTTATAGCAGAATGATTTTTAGTATATTTATAGAGTTGTGCAACCATCTCAGCACTCCAGTTTTAGTTTGTGTCTATCACCCCAAAAATAGCCTTGGGACACACTTTTAGTGAATCCTGGCTCCCACCCCCAGCTTCGGGCAAGCACTGATCTGCTTTCTGTCTCTATGGATTTGCCTTTTTTGGATATTTCACATAAGGGATATCATCTTGTCTACTTCTTTATCGGTTCCTTCTCCTGATTCCTGACTCATTTCTCTTCTCTGTTCTTGAAGTGTGGTGGGTCACAGAGTTCTTGCAAAAGAACTCTTTTCTTCCATATACCCACTTTCCCTACAAAAATCACATTCCTGCCTTTGGTTTCAATTCACCAATAGCTCAGTAGTGATTCCTCAGCCATAACTCTCTTGAGCTCCAAATCAGTGCTTTAAATTACCTATGTATCTTACATGTCTTGAGTTGTTCTAAAAAAGGAAAAAAACAGTTAAAAATAAAAAATAAATTACCTATATATCCTATAGGCCCCTCAAGCTCCACAAAGCACAGGTGGTATCTTTTCCTCAAAATTTTTTTCCCTTCTGTTTTTGGCTCTGGGTTAATGACTCCACCATTCTTTCAGAAATCCTATGTAGAAGCTTCGATGCCTCCTCCAATTGCTCTCTCAATGAGCACTTATTTTATACCAGGAATTGTACTTCTCATTCCTGATTTCATGTAATCCTTACACCACCTCTGCGTTTTAGTTACTATTATCCCCATTTTACAAATGAGAGAAACTGAGGCTCTGAGAAGTGAGGGGTGCAAGATCAAGCCACTGGTAAACATCGAAGCTGAGGTTTAATTCCTAATCCCCTCCACTTTGTTTTTCCTACTTCAAAGGCCATGCTATTGTGTGTCTGTCTGTTGAGCTAACCAAAAAAATTACAGAACTCCTCCTTTCCATTTGTGCCATCACTTCCTCAGTTGGGGACCTCATCATCTCTTATCCAGCTTGAAGAAGTTGTCTTCTGCTTGATCTGTCTGCCTCTTATAATTCTCCCCTTTACTCTCTCCTCCTTTTTGTGGGAAACCAAAATAGTCATCTTAAACCAAATCTGATCATATCACCTCCTAAAATTCAAATAATTTGAAACAAGTGTAATTAGTGAAGCAAGTTGCAAATAACTTTTACCAAAAATGGATAAAATATTAAATTTTATCATTAACTCACTTAAAAAATAAACTAGTACAGATTCAAGGAAATTCCTGTAATGATATCATTCTCATTCGCATTCAACAAGGCTGTTTTGAGCAGCTGGAAAAGGAAGATGAATCATAGTTGGTGCTCTGAGAATTGCACATAACTGACTGGCCATGATGTTGACACCCAGCCTGCAGCACATGACTCTAGTGAAGCACTGATGATTGTCATGCTGATTCTGAGTCATCGCGGTTGCTATCAGTTGTTTCAAACCAATGAGAATGTGTTGCAGTCTTATTGGTTGCAGTGAAAAACCAGTAGACACCTGCAGGCCAGCTGTATCCCAGCACGGCTATCCTTCTGGCTCTTTCTTACCACTGAGCTTGTGCTACCTGAACTTCTTTCACACTAAGATCATGTATTGTCCTCTGAACCAACCTTCACACTTGTGCTTTTATATCTATTATTCCTTCCATCTGGGATCCCCTTCTACTCCCTCTCACCCTGGACAATTCCTCAAGACACAAATCAAATGTCACTTCCTTTGGGAAGCTCTTCCCTATTTGCTCTCTATGGAGTTGGTGGTTTCTCTTCGGTGTGCCCGTGACATTGTGTGTATATGGGGCTTTGTGATAATCTGCTTATGGTTCTCTTTCTAGTAGACCTATTTTTGGGTACCCAGAGAAGTAAATGATTAATGCTTACTAGAGAATCCTAGAAGGCCCCACAGAGAAAGTAGCTTTTAAGCTACATGAAGGATAAATAGGAGAAGAAAATTGGGGAAAGATTGTTGTGGGCCTAGGGAATGAGCATCAGCAAAACAGAGGCATTAACAAATGCAAGATGGAGATAAAAAGGGAACTCCTGTTTCTGACAACTATTTGCAGGTTCTACTATTAAGAGAACTTAAATTAAGAGTGATGTTTAAATCTTTAAAATATAGTGACTAGCCATTTCCTGAAATATCTTACTGTGTTTAGATTGCTTTAGGTAGTTACAAACTCTTTAAGTCTTGTCCTATCAGCCATTATTATTATTGAAAATGCATAAAAACTTGTGCCAAATAATTTCTATTACTTCTACATCGCCCAATTACATGTTAATCTATATCTCTACAAACCCATTTGGTTTTATATAAACTCTGCTCAAGGAGAGTAATTTAAAATAATCTAGTACTGCTTACATTGGTTAGCCAATGAGCAAATACAATTCCAGGGAGGCAAAGTAATATATCTTAATAAGATTACAATATTATAATAAGCTCATAGAGGCTATTTAATATTAATACTTATGCAGAAAATTAGTAATTATTTGTATCCTTTTATTCTGGTTTATCACTGATTAGAAGTAAATTGTGATTTACTAATTACTAATACTCTTTCACTGATTTACATTTCTCATTGATTTGTAGTCCCTGATTCTATACATGTATCTTTCTTCTGAATTATAGAACTCAACTTTAAATGAAACCACTCTGGTCTTTGATATAGATTGTCCCAAATTGCAAAACATACACACAAATGTATAATTCATAAATATGACTTTGGCTACAATAAGTAGGTCTTATGTGTAATAAACTTGTCAACTCAATCTACTACCCAGTAGTAGCCCTGTCTGTTGGTAATCTAAACAGATTCTTATGTCTTTTCAGTAAGTTGATAATATTTAATAATTATTTAAAGAATTCTGAAAATGTAGTTTTAAGTTCTATTTAGGATTTTATTGGAATCTACTTTTCTTTTTTTTTAAAAAAAATGATTTAAGTGCTCCTAACTCTCATTTATATTCTCCTATTTTAGGTAGAAGTACAGTTTCAGAGCCTAAAGGAGTTTTATCAAACTGAAATCCCTCAGAAGGAAGAGGATGATACTAAAGCCAAGTATTGTTCTGACTCAGAAGCTGAGAAGCAATGGCAGCTATTCTTAAAGAAGAGTTTTTTAACTCAAGACCTAGGGCTTGAGTTCCTTAACTTAATAAATATGGTGAGAATAACATTAAATGAATCACACCTTCTGCAAGGATTACTCATCAAAGTCAAAATCATAAATTCAAAAGCTCAACTGTTTATTAATCAACAATGTTGGCCTCGAAAGTGCTTTTAGCTTCATTCAACCTAGACCAGTCCTGATGCTCAACATTTATATGCTTACTTGGTCCTAGAGCCCTTGTTCATTTATAACATGAAGGCTATTTTAACTGTTAAGAAGAAAGAGTGACTGTAATCCAAATGCAGCATTGTTATTATTACATAGAGTTCTCAGAAGTCTACCGCAAAGTTCTGGGTTATGTTAAGAACGTGCAACAAGGTCCTTAGAAAATTTCTAGTGGCCAAACACAACTTCTAGGATGACTCTTCTTTTGAAGTATTTCTTACTATAGCAGATTTTTTTTTTATAGTGAAGGTCCATAGCATTCAAAAATATACCCTAACCTTTAGTTATACTGAGTTATATCTATAAAATATTCTAGGATCCTTATATCCACCTCTGACCCATATGAAGTTCCCTATAAATTTCTGAAAAGATGGTTAATCCACCTCTCTTTCAATGCCATGAGTATCTTCCTAATGAAACTGCTCATTTCGCTTTTGGAAAACGCCAACTGCTAAGAAACTTTTTTTTAATGTTAAATAAATTTGTCTTCATATTTGGCCCTAACCCTCTGTAGCTACACAGGGACAAAAAAGAATCCATATTTAATTTCTCTTACACATGAAAGCCCTTACAACATTAAAAATAGTTGCTATGTCTAATCTGAGTTTTTTTCTGTAACCTGACATACAATGAATTGTTTCTGTCATTTATGAAGTAGTTTCATGTCTCTGTCTTTCCTGATCCCCCTTCCCAGGATTGTCTATGGTTTGTCAAAATCATTCATAAAATGTAACCCAAAAGTGACATACAATTGCAGCACAATAAACTGGAATTTATTCTTTACTAATGAGACCGAAGATTACACTAACATTTTTAGCAATAATGTCACTTTGCTGGTTTATATTAAGTTTATGATAAACTCCTGTAATTTTTTTTTGCAGCTTCTGCCAAGCCAGGTGTCGCCCATGTTATATCTGTGTCAGCTATTTATCTTTTTCATACAATTGTGGGCATATTTATTATTATTTAATTTTATTTTGTTAGTCTTCACCCATGATTCCATCTTGCTAAACTAATTTGAACCTATTGACTATATTAGCCATCTCTCCTGAGTTTAGTTCTGTAGATTTGACAAAGTAAGTCTTCTATGGCTGCAATTAGCTCTTTACTAAAAATGTCTAAAGTGAAGATTGAAACCTCAATTTATGAAGCAATCTATTGACTAACCAGTCTTTTAAACAATCATGAATGCTCCCAATAGTACTTTAATTCAACCACTACTTTATAATCTTTTTATCAAGTCTATCATGGGAGACTTTCTCAAATAAACTGCTCAAAAGAAGTTCTACCTACCTACTATCCTATCAATGACGTAAACATAATTTGACATAAATCAGGTGGACTCCTAGTGATCAGGGCATTCTTTTCAAAATGTTCACAAAGTGCTTGATAGGTGATGAACTTATTGCACTGCTTTTCAGTGTAAAGCTCGCCAATCTGTAAATTGTGTAGTTTATCCTTTCCCTCTTTTGAAAATCAGGGTGTTTTCCTTTCTCTAATTTTAAGGCCCTTCTAATGTCTGTAGATTTTCAAAGATAACTGACAGTTGCAATTTTCTCAGTACCTGGGATGCGACTAATCTCAGTCTAGCACCTGAATTCATTTGGAAGACTTAGGTTCTAACTATCCTCATCTACTTTGAGCTACAATTTTTTCTGTATCTTCTTTATTTCAACTTTTGTTGTTTGAAGACCATTCTTATTAAACCTATGTGGAAATAAAATATGCACTAAATAGTTCTAATTTATCTGACCCTATCCTTAAGCATGAGAAAAAACTTGCTAAGCAATTTGTCCACATTCCTATTTTTATGGATGTGTTATTGTAAAAAAACAAGTTATTTTTCATTTGGAATACTTAGAACAAGTATTATCTGTGTATCTATCTATCACCTATCTTTTATGTTTTTATTTGGTTCAAAATATCTTCTTCCATCTCTTGATTTTATATATTTATACTTTATACTCATAAGGGAATTCAAATATTTTCAAACTGCATTTTTTTAATCTATCCTTTTTATCACTAACTTCATTTCAGAAATTTTTTTTCAGTTCTGGAATTTACAGTTGGTTCTTTTATTTGAGTTAAATTACTGATGAAATTCTTCTCTTTCTCCATCTTTCCTGTACCTTCTAGACCCATATTAATCCTAGGTATTTAAAGTGCTCGTCAGCTAACTCCAACATTTGTGTCTGGAGCTGTTTCTATTGTCTACTTTTTCTCTCGGTTTCCAGTCATGTAGTCCTGTGTTTTGACAGGACTAGTGAATATGTATCAAATACCAGACATTAGGTATAAAAAATTGGAGGATCTCCGGATGGTGTTTTCTTCTTCTAGAAAGGGTCACCCTTCTTTCTCTAGGCAGGCCCTGGTGGGTGATCGCTTAAGCCATTCAGAAGCTGACAGGGTTCAGTCTGCAGTGTAATCCCACCAAAGTTCAGTCTGCTCTGCTCCCCTCAGGTTTGGAGTTTCCGACCAAGAACTGGGCACTTTCTCTGAGGTTTCTACTTCCCAGCAGGTGCCAAACTCCAATCTTGGTTTAGGGAGACTGCTGAAAATTCTACTTTGCTTTTCCGAGGCCTTCTGCTTAGGTTTATTGAATCCACTGCCCTGTGTAGCCCCAGTATCTTCTCAGTGTCCTTAGAAGAAGATCACTGGAGTGCTTGAAGCCCTCCAAGTGTCCGCCAAAATCTCCACTGGTTTATCTGTTCCCGGAAAGCCTCGATTATCAGCCTTGTGTCCACACAGAATTGGGAAACTGCCCTGGGGTAGAAGTGGTAATAGTTGAGCTCACCATTCTCAGGTTCTTTCCTTTCTGGAGTCTTGGCCTCTCTCGTTCTTGTTGCCACAGCAGCTCTCTGCTGCCTTCAATTAGATGCTTTCTGCATTTTATCCAGCTTTTCCAGGTGTTCTAAGCAGAAGCATTGCTCTGTCACTGGCTGCTCCATCTACCCAGAAGTCCTTCATTGCTTAGGTAGAATGTTTACGATTGTCCAGTCAGATTTTCATTTTGTAAGATGTGCAGCAGGAACCCATTCCAAATAATATTTTTTATCTATGTCAAAATAAATTTAGGTTATCATGATATTAAAATGCCTGTTTAGAGTCTCCAGAAATAGCATGTATTTTACTACTAAGCCTTGGTAGTCTTTTATCTTGATATCATAAACATGGCCACTTTACCCCAAGGTCTTTACCACAGTCAAATGATAAATAAGTTCCTCCTTATTGAAAAAAAATTAAAGCCCACATAATAGTTAACTTTATTGGTTTAGCAACATTCTGAGATATGAAATTGTTGGTAAAGCAAGTAAAACACAGGTTTTTTTTAATTCTCATCATATCTTTTGGACCATTAGGCTTTTAAACAAACCTTATTGAAATGTGGTGACCAGTTTGGTTGTTAAGAAGGAAGAGACCAGCTGGCGTGTTCACTTGAGTGTTCTGCTCTTGATTGACTTGCCATGACTTGCCGTGGTTCATATTTTGAGGCTTGCAACTGAAAATGTTTTCAGTTCATCTAACAATCATCAAGATCAGAGAAACTGATTCAGGCAAAAATTCTGCCAGACATCTTGTTGAAAGAGCCAATTTATTAATTTATGGTGATTAATACTAAGAATGCTATCTGGGATACAGCTTTCCTGTTATCAAGGTACCTGGAAAACAAGACATTCAAAAACTATTCATTGTACATGAATCTAAATGAAAAATGGATAATTTAGTGGACTATTTAGACTGGGTTATGACAAAATTTTTCCATGCCCTACCTAGAAGTAAAATGAGTACTGTATTTACTAACTAACCTTCATGTAAGTTATTTAATATTCTTGAGTGGCCACAATACTTAAGTCTGTTAAATACAGAATCATTTTTCTTAGATCCTGCTAGCTAGACATCGGCAAATCCTACTATCCTCCCTTTTCTAGACCTCACTCAGACCACCATACCCTTCTGATTGTAGTTGTCATTGACATGCTACAACTTCCAAGTTTATATTAAATTATATAATATATTACATTTGAATTAATAATTTCTCAATAATATGTGAAAGATACCCTAACTTTATGTATAACATAGATAAAAAATATAATTTGGTGTGGGTCTTGCTATAGTTGTCTAATATCTTTCATAATCTATTGTATTTTGTTAATCATAATTACAGAATATATCATTTTATTACTAGATTCTCAGATTCATGGGGATATCTCATTTAGGACCTCCAATTATATATTTTTGCAATTAATTGCCACTTTATAATGTCTAAAACAACATAAAAATATGAATGTGAAATATTAACATCATTTAAATAATTTTAAAATGAAATGATCTGTATCTAAAAGGTCTCATTAAATATTTATGATACATCAATTGCTGTCATTGAGATTATAGAAATCCGTTAGAAATTTGAAGAATTATTGAGAAAGGCTGGCCATCAAAGTAAAAAAAAAAATTGTTTTGCCAAACAAAATGTTCTTCTGCATTTTTTTTTTATGTTTCTACAGAAGTAAAGCACATGATCTCACTCTTTACCCCTCATCCTTTTGCCTTCAGTTGAATTTCCCTGTGTTTAAAACCATTGTTTAAAGGATTGCAAACCAGTCAGCCAGAACATGTGAAAGTTGGGAACTGAAGTCTTTGAATTTAGATATTGTGCTTCTGGTACATGATAGAGTTATGAATATAGACATATAGATACCCATTTCAGCTCTCACAAAATGGAGAAACTTGAGAAACTACAAGAGAAATTTATTTATAATATGCACAATGGGATAGTTTCAAGAGAGAAACAGAGGTCCAGAACAACCATCCCCCTCCTATTCCTTGATACCGATGTTTTGTCCTATTCTAATGAGCATGTTGAAATAGAAGATGGAGTGCTTTTCAAAACTTTTGCAGTAGAAAAATCTTGACTTCAAAAATTCTGGATCCCCATGCTCATTAAATTCCCTTCAAACCCCAGAAAATAACCGGACCCTAGGTGGGAATTCAAACACCATTTGGGTCTTGAAGAACTTGGGACCTGATGTTCAAGCATAGAACATGGGTTCTGAGAGCCTAACTGTGCCTCTGCACAATTCAGACTTGTCTGGATATCAGAACCGTGTTCAGCTTTGGCCGTGATAAAGTGTTTGCCCTCTAAAATTGTCGTATGCAAAAAAGTTCTCTCTCTTCGGAAAGAAAAGCTATTATATGAATTATTAATTTAACAGGCAAAAGAGAATGAGATATTAAATGTGAAAAGTGAAATGAACATTATGGAGAACATTGTGGAAAACCGGAAGGCAGAAAGGGAAGAACTCAGCCTCCTCCGGATGGTCTGGCAGCTTAAAGCCACTGACGGCAAGCCTGTGAAGCAGCGGTGGGGCGCATTCAAAGAGCAACTTAAGAAGGTGAGGAAACAAATCATGGGTGTTACCTAGCCTTAGAAGGGAATGACATTCTGTGACATGCTACCACGTGAATGAGACATGCTACCACATGAATGAACCTTGAAAACATTATGCTAAGTGAAATAAGCCAGACACAAAAGGATGAATTTTGTGTGATTCTACTTATGTGAGACATCTATAGTCAAATTAGTAGAGACAGAAAGGAGAATACAGGTTACCAGGGGCTGGGGGGAGGGACAGAGGGAATGGGGAGTTGTCGTTTAATGGGTACAGACTTTCTGTTTGGGATGATAAAAAAGTTCTGGAGAGGGATGGTGGTGACCATGATTGCACAAGAGTGTGAATGTGTTAATGCCTCTGACTGTTCACTTAAAAGTGGTAAAAATGGTAAATTTTATAATGTATACTTTACCACAATAAAGCCAAAAAAAGTAAGGGAAACCAAGGACCTGTACCTTTATTGTTTGGTGTTTTCGAAATGAGCTCACTTAAGGTTGAGGATGTTTTCACAGGGGTTGAAAAGTTTGACAAAGCTGCACTTCAATACTAGAATGATCACAGCATATTTGCGGGAAGTGTCAGAGCAAACACATGCACAACTAACTATCTGATGTTCATTTCAGACCACTCACAACTTAAAACTTCTTCAGGAGGTCCTTATGCCTGTGTGTGCACTTGACCTTGGAGGGAGCCTCCAGACCATTTTGGATCTACGGAAAAAATGGAACGAAATGAAGCCTCAGTTCCAGGTGACGAAATGGATGGATTTGGGTGAATGGCAAAAACTTAAAAAGTGCTCAGTTGCAGTTTACCTAATTAATTTTAACAGACTGAGAATTTCTGTTTTTTCTACAAAAGCATTGCTTGTCTAGTAATCACTGGAGAGACACATTTTTCTTCCTATTTTTCTGCACTCTTCTGAATTTGATGATACACACATTCAGGCTATGAAATGTGCTAAATATAGCTTTACCTTAGATTATTTTAATTTAATTATTAATTAAATTATTAATATATTTATCACATATTCACTCTAATTCTTCTTCTAGGGAGTGCAGACGTGTTTTAAATTGAGACATCTCAGAACAAGAATGAGTAACCTCTGACCCAGAGGCTCTGCTGCCCTGGGTCCCTGAAGTGACCACTGCGATGTCACTGTCCCAAACTACCGCACGCCAGGCTCCCACACCATGCTGGGAATTTTGCTGTGCTGTCCATTCACCCTCTCAGAAAGCCCTCAGGATGTGAGAGATAAAACCATGAGTCATGGTCCTGTCCCCTGACTGCTTAACACATTCCCTATTACCCCACCTCCTGCCTCTGCTAAACTTGACCCAACTGCCAAAAATGCTTGCCAAGTACATTGTCCTCCTGCCTGGATTCTTGTTGTTTGCTGCAAAATTAAGATACCTGTGCTTCCATCTGTCATGACTTCGTAAATGTGGGCTTTAAAGGATCCCAGAATCAGAAGATTGAGGAGTCCTTTAGGGAATATCTAACTGTAGTTTCCTTTAAGACAAAACTGATATAAAATATAACCACCACCCCTGCTACACGCACATACATCCCCACCCACCATTGTAACCCACAGCAAAACTCTCAGCAAATGCGACTGGTCTATCTTAGGTTTTTTGATATGTCCTGTATGTGCTTATTTGCATTTCATTTGTGCACACGTCTGCATGTATGTGTAAGTTCCTCTAAATCAGCAACCATTGCTACACTTTTCTAGCTCTGTCGCTGTGATGTGTATATATTTGATGGCCATGTGTTTAATTTGAACTTGAAGACCCTTTTTAGGTCACTTTTCTGAAAATTATCTCCTTAGTCTTAATCATTTCCATTACTTTTACTTTTGATACCAGATCCATCCCTGAAATTATTAATAGTAGCATTCTCTTTAAGTTATCCACACTTTGCAGGTTCTACTCCACCATCTGGATACCATAAAGGATATTTGAACAATTTTGGATAAAAGGGAAGGCAGCTTACCCTGCCTGCATGTGGTGGCTACTTATAGCTCATGGGGTGACTGCTTTTGAAGCAGCATATCTGTTGTACTGTTCAGCTGGTGGTTCATTCTCTTCATTCTTTTACCACAGTGCACGAGTAGTTCCCCTGATGTATTTTTACAGTCATCTGCTCTGGGTGCTCTTACCACACCACCTGATTCTAGTCTATATTAAATATCATAGCTGGTCATGGGGCTTCATCAAATATCTAAAATACACTGACTTAACAGATGACAAGAATATTCAGTGTGCCGTAGAAATACATGATTCCATTTCACTACCTAACATTGAAACACTGTCTTTGCATTGCTCATAATTTTTTAATTAATAATTTCTGAGAAGTTGAGCATGGAACAATGTATCCCTAGCATCTAGCACAATGCCTGAATTTTGGGGGTGGGGGCTCATAATAAGTATTTTTTTTAATGAGAGAATGAGTCATTATTTAGACCTTCATATTGGCAGTGATAAAGTCAAAAGCTCTCTAAAAGCTGGATTTCTTTTATTGCTGTCAATGTTTAGCAATTGAAAGACGAGGTTCGGTACATTATGAAAGAATCAGAAGACTTAAGTGTCAAAGGAGCCCCTGTAAAAGAGAAGTCTCAGCAACTGAGGGACCTTATTCACCTCCATGAAAAACAGAAAGAGAGAATCCAAGACTATGAGGATATCCTGTACAAAGTGGTCCAGTTCCACCAAGTCAAGGAAGAGGTAAGACACTTAACAGATGACTAGAAGACTCAGAGTTTTGAACTATGAAATTAAAAATTAATTATTGTAAAATAAATAAGGCCAAATTGCTTATTCTGATACTGGAAGCTTATGCAATCTGGCCCCTAACTTATCTCTCACTATCCCCCATCCTCCCTATGTTCCAGCCAAACTGAGCTCTTCTTTGTCCCTCAGAGAAGTTGCACATATTCCTGACATCAAGCCTTGACTCTCAGGCTGCCATTATCCGACAGGCCTCTCTCTCTCTCTGCCCTATTATCTAAACCCTGTACCTCCGTCCAACAATCCTACATCACTTGGAGTGATTTCTCTCTCTTCTAAAATCCTAGAGCTCGCATTGTTTATTCCATACATCTTGCATTTTTAGTATCTTGATTTTTAAGTACTTTTTAATAAATGTAGCTTTGCCCCCCTCAATTCAAGTGTAAGCTATTTGAGGGCAGAAACCAAGTTCAATTTTTATGTATCTGAAGTACCTGACATCATGGAGTGCTCAATAAATATGTATTTGTTGGTTGCCTTTTTTACAAAACGTCATAGCTGTTAGCCTCTGTAAACACGAAGTGGAAGTGTATGGATATCCCTTTCAAATAGTCTCTGGATTTATTCGAATCACAAGCTTAGATCTCGCTAAGGTTTTAGGTTATAACCAGAAAGAGTATTTCCTTCTTTAAAAGAACTGACAACATTAGCTGCTCAATAATTACCCTATTGGATTTGCAGCATTCTAACATTTTGTTTGGCTACGATGACAACAATTAGGGATAGGCTTGGCAGCATTTTGAACAGCTAATAAAATATGCTATAGAAAATAGACTTAAAAAAAAATCCATCTTCATGTAAAACCCAGGTTAATTGTTAATGCACTAACTTCCAGCTGGGACAGCTCATCAAATCAAGAGATCTGGAGTTTCTAGAGCAGATGAAGGAACTGGCTGATGTTCATGAGATCCAGATTCACCTCCGTCGCTCTCAGGAAAAACAGGCACACGTGGACCATCTCTACAAACTGGCCCTTTCCTTAGGAGTGGACATCATCTCATCAGTGCAGCGGCCTGTGAGCATCTCTGGGCACCATCATTTACACTGAGTTCTGAGGCTTGGGCTATAACATGAAATAAACAAGGCGGATTGCTTAATATATGTTAAATTACAAAATACGTCAAACCATTGAGGTAGTTATTTGTGATGAGCTTCTACCCTATGACAAAAGAAAAAAATTTTAAATAGAAAGTCAGAATATAAAAGTCTTGTTCAATTGCTTCTATTCTCATGCAAATTTTTTTTAAAAAAACAGTATTGATATTGTAGATCTGTGTAATCCAGTGTGGCAGACAGTATTTTTGTCTTTCAAATGTGCCCAATGCAACTAAAGAACTAAACTTTTAATTTTATTTAATTTGAATTTATCTAAATTTGTATTTTAAAACTGATTCTCAATATAGTTACTGGAAAACTTTTAATTATGCTGGGAACAACTTGGGTGTGGGAATAAACTTTCGAAACTGTGAACTTAGGAAATTTAAATACAGACCAAATATTTCTGACAGAAATTGAACGATTGAGATATGCTCGAAGTATGAAATACACATCAGACTCCAAAGACTTAATATAGAAATCATATTAATATTGTTTGTACCGGTTACATGTTAAAATGGTGATACTTGTACATATTTGGTTAAATTATAAAAATCAATTTCACCTATTTCTTATTTACTTTTCGATATGATGACTTGAAAATTTTAAATTATTTGTATGGTTCACGTTATGTTTCTGTTGGCCAATGCTACTTTAGCATTGCAGACCTGAAAAGACCTTCTAGATCTGAGAGCTCATCCAAGCCAGAACCCACGTTTTATAGATGAAGAATCTGAGGCCCAGAGAGCTGGCTGCCTTGTCCACAAAAGCCTGCGGTGGAGGAGCCCGACCCTCCCAATTTTAGCTAGGGATCTGGGAACTAGTCATTGGGTCCACTTTATGCCACTCGACAAACTTCAAAAGAGAAGGAAGTATTTCCAGATCAGAAGCACTGATTTTTTAAAAATCCTTCTCCAAATTTGTAATCTGAAGGGAGAAAAGATTATGTTTATTCTATCAATATGTATAACATTGATTAAATCGTAATGGCCAATTATATTTTAAAGTACATTTAAGATATCCACTACACTATAGGAAATGCAGGGAACCTAAAGTCTATTTTTTTAAACTGAAAGACATAGAAATTCAAAGGATCTGTTGCTGTTTCTAGAATCTACTTTTTTCCAGGAAAGAGCTTTTTTTTTAAGGAGTTTTATTTTATTAGCAAATTTACTTTAAAAATAAAAAAGAAAGAAGCCTCACTTTGTGCAGATAGTGTAAATTGTTCCAATCCTCCTCTGGCCTTGGCCCCCACAGCCCCTCAGTACAGAGTGGGGACGGCAATGCTTGCATAATGAACCCAAGGTTGAGCTTAAGTTGACAGGAAAATTACAGTGCAGAAGTCAAACGTTTCTAATGCATATTTTATGCCTTTTGAAGTAAAAATTATACCATATAATGAATGGTGTCTCTGAGGAGTTGGGTATGATAAGCAAATCTTCAGAACTAGAGATTCGAGACTGGAAATGTCTTTCTGGTAATGTTGGGTGTCTGGCTTCTTTCTGAAATAATATATTCAAATGTGTTTAAGGAAAAATAAATCAGGAGCCTATGTCTTTTTTTAAAAAGTGTTATTTATGAGTTTCATAATGCAGGTAAATAGCATATTCATCTCATTGCTGTTTCATCTATTACCCTCGTTACTTCCACTTGCCTGTCATTTTTAGAGCTGCTCTAATGTCTCTGCAAAGAACCTACAGCAGCAGCTGGAGACCCTTGAGGAGGACAGCCTGACCTGGCGTGCCGACGCCGGGGAGTATGAACGGACCCTGTCCCACAGCTTGGAGTACTGTGCCACAAGAGATGAGATAAATGAGGTGAGGGATGTGAGAACTGACTCATTGCCAAAAGCTGTTTGAACCTATAGCGTGTGTCTCAGTGTCCATACATGTGCTTGTGCCATGCACACATGTGCCCACATGCACACACACACAGTGAATCGGGAGACATTCTTCTCATCCATGTCCTTTAATCCAATAGGCAGTGGCCTCGGGGCTCTGAAAATTTAAGTAAACTTTAAGTTCCCAAACTTCTGGAAATCAGTATGTTGACAGTGCATAGAAAAACCTAGAATGCAGTCGTTTTTACGGTTGTTTTTGTTTGTTTTTGGGGGTTGTTTTGTTTTGTTTTCCCCCACTCAAAGCTATCTAGCAGTCATTTGCTAGAGTGGCTACAGCTTTTGCAGGGGACAGAGAAAAGGGTGACACTGACCCGTTGCAGCCAGCTCCAGCCTGCTGAGATTCTATTTAAGTACCATTGACTCATGGTGAAGGGGTGCTAAGGGCCATGCTCTTTGCTTCAGAGGCTACAAAGTATTATCACTAACATCAAGTGGCTGCTTTCATATTTACTCAAACTGAGTGGTTTTCCTGGCAAAACAACTCTCGGAGTAAAAAGAAATAGCAGATAAAAGTGAACCTCCACATCCATGCACCCTCACATACATAATTTCACCTCCTCCCCCCAACTGTAACGAATCTCGAACCCTCAGATACTCACTGAACCACAAACTACCACCCACCCAGCCAAGCTTTCCATCGAAATGCTTACTCATTTTGCGGGGTGCACACACAATCACACACACCCCCACAGATTGGGATAGCAAGGGTTCTGATTCTAACTGGAAATTGATAGCAGAACATAAGGGTACCCATAATTCCGGATTTATCTCCATTTAGAGCAAACTGTCCTGTGTCCACTAAACCGTAAGTCTGTTAGGAAGGGGGTGGGGGAGGAGGTGGCACTCCTTCCTGAACCTTGTTTATGCACAGTTTACATAATCTAGGTCCAGCAAGTATCAAATATTACCAAACAACATTAAAGCATGGACTAAAGTATAAGTCACTAAGCTTTAATGACGGTCCAGCTCTAAAGTGCCCCTCCTGCAGCCACGCTTGTACAGACTACAGGCAGGTGCAGGAGGGGGCACGGCTGGAGGGAAAATGAGAGGTGAAGAGAGCAGGAGTGGCCACTTGGATCCCGTTCAACAGGAGGGTAGCAGGAACTGACATCTGATAAGCATTCTCACTTCATTTTGGACGAAAGGACCGTAGAGTTTCTGCTCAGGGTCTGTGTTCCACGGAGTCACTTTTGGCTGGAGACTCATGTACTCACCCAGGGTGGAACCCAGAGTGGAGCTGCCCTCTGCTTCCGGTTCCTGCACTGCAGCTTACACTCCCCTTGGGCCTTCTGAAGGAAAACAATCAGAGCAAAGTGGTCTTCTCAAGGCTACAGAATTTGGATTCGTGGCCATGGAAATGATTTTTTAAAAATCTTTCCCGAAAATTATCTTCTTCTTCCTCCCTCTGCCTTCCTCCCCTCCCCGCTGCTCTGTCCCTCCTCCTCCTCCTTCTTTTTGTGCACCTTAGTCTTTCCACAATTCTCCGTCATTGCAGGGATGGCTCAGCTCTGTATTTACTGAAGCATAAGTGGAGCAGGCGAAGGTTAATCCCAGCCCCCTCCGGCTCGGTTCCATCTCCCTGAAGAGCTGTGGCATTTATGGAGCAGGGGCTCCCTGCCCAGGCCCTTTCAGCAGGGGTTCTATTTACAGGGTCTGCCTCATGGTGAGCCTGTGCCTGCAGCCAGCGGCCCTGGGGGCAGATGTCCCTTCCAGTCACAGCAGGGGCGCCCCAGGATTGTCTGTACCGTGTCAGGGATGAGCAACCAGATACATGTGGGTTCGATTTAGGAATCAGATATCACTTTAGCATGCTCTTAAATATTAAGAGAGAGATTCTTCCCATTTGCTTCCACTTCTAATCCAATTAATCTTTGATGTAAGTTACAGTTTCACATTTAAAAGACCTTTGAAAACCTTTCCTTCTTTTGTAGAGATATAGGTGGCATCTCAGAGTGTAACATCCACACCCTGAACTTTCCAACCTCAAGCCTAGTGGGAAAATAATCAAAAGGAATATTTTCAGTGCTCCTTAGTAAAATAAAGATATTTGTGTCTGTTTATATTGTGACTACAGAGCGCAAACAGATGGCCAATTTCCACAGTCGTAATAATATTTGACATCTAGACATTATTATTTATTATCATTATTAGTCTTTGGGTTTAGGTACTTAAAACACTATGTAAAATTAAATGCCATATGTTCCACTAATTTTTTTTTCTGCATAAAAAAATACTATCAGATACTCTGCCAGAGAACTAGACAAAGCATAGCATTGGATTTTTTAAGTTGATTTTATTAATAAAGCACAATGTTTTGCTTCCAGTGTGCTCAAAGTGCTTCTAGAAAGTTCACAGCCTCTGACTTACAATAGATTTTGGAGAATTTCTAGTTCAACATCTTCATTTTTCAGATGAGAAAACTGAGATGTGCATAATTTTCATTTTGGCAGTGTGCTGCTAGAGGACTATAGAGCTTCTGCTCAGTGTTCTAGGGAGTCAACTTCAGACCACAGAGTCATTTGTTGGGCACCAACATGCTTCTCATTTGCTAAACTCAGAATTCACCATTCACATAATGTTTTAGTCCCTTTCAACCACTGCATGGTCTGATGTGAAATGTATCCTTTTTCTATGCTTTCCTTTTCTATCCCTATTTTCTGGTATATCTGTTAATGTTTGTATGATCTGATATAATGGTACAGTTCACTTGGTTATTTCAACAAAAATTTCTTTCTTGACTATGCTGTTGTTAATTTACATGGTCTTAATGGTACTGAAAGCCCTTAGGAAAGAACTTGAAACCTCAAGACAAAATAACGTAAGGTGCTCTAAACATAATTTTTAAAATGTTCCTTAAAGACAAAGAATGATGGTCTTGTTCCTTGATTATCTTTGTGTAAAAAATATTTTTTCTAATTTCATACTAAGACACAGAAAATTATAAAACCTCATTTTCTCCACATCTACCTACTAGAAAAACAACCTTCAGACTGTCAGATTTTGTGGAGTTTTTTTCCTACCCATTCCACACAAAGATACACTTGTATGCATGAATGTTGAATATCACTGTATATTTTCTTGCCTGGTTCTATTAATAAGTTGTTCATACACAAAGTGCTGTAGACATATTCTCTGCCATGTTATATGATAGGGGAACATCATTCTTTACACATCTACATTTAGAAATGTAATAAGTTAATATTGAGCATGTTTTCTTCTTACAACCTGACCAAAAAAGTTACTTTTATATTTATATGATGTTAATGAAAATTTGTCACTAGTGGCTCATATTGTGGGTCACAAACAGTTACTTTGCTGGAAAGAATAGTAATGACAGAATTGGGTTGGTATTCATTTTCTCAAAAGAAATTTTCTACACAGAAGCTTTCAGATAATTATTTTACCTTACCCTGAAATTTTTCCACTGTAGCAACATCTTACCCATCAGGAAGAAAGCAGAAAAGTATTTAGTATATTTATATTCCATATGTCAGTCCTGTGTTCCAGTGGCACAAACTCTTTTATCAGTTTGAATAAATCAGTCATGTGATTTCCATGGAACAGCACCATGCTATAGCATGGACAATAGCTATCTTCCAGAATTACAATCCAAATTCATCATTTTTTAAAAAAAGACTACATTGTCTTCATTCAGCAAGTATCTTTAATGTGGTTACCATGTGCCAGACCATAAGAATACAAATGTCCTCAGGAAACTTAAGAGTCTAGGGAGAGTTAAAACCCATGGGGCTTCACAGTCACAGCAATTGGTCTGTTAGGCCCCATCCTGGGTCCATTTGGATGTCATGTGTAAGAAGATAGGAAAGATTACAATTCGTTCTGGAAATGTCTATCCCATGGGGTTAAAATCCTTTAGAATATTGGTATTTAATACCTGCAAAGTGACCCTGTGGGATCTTCCTGAAGAATATAGAGAGATGAATTTTAAAATGTCCAGAAAATAAAACAAATAAAACAACAAATATATTATGAAGACACAAAACATGCAGGATGGATAAAATGTTTATTACTGAGACCTGCTGCCACCTACAATTTAAGACAGAGCAATTGTCTTCTCGTTCCAAGTTGCCCCACTTTCTGCTGCTAGGAGACTGACCTCAAGCACAAGAAGACAGAGGTGTGGTGGCCAAATGGAAGGAGGCCAGGAAAGTTTTGTATTGAAATCTCTCCAGTACTAAGGGTGACTATTCTACCATAAATGATTGTAGCAAATCATTTGGGTTAAACTTTGAGTCTTGGATGTCTTGATTTCAAATGCAGCATCCCTGGGAGGTGATAATATTACAGCCTTCCGATGCTGAAATGAGCAGCAGAAAGCGTTTCTCTGGAGGGGACAAAATGGCGGGCAAGAAATCACATTGGTGAAGTGGACATTAAGAAAAAATGAAAATTAACTACTCATTTCATATTTTTGTTTCTGGCCAAGCATGTGCCATAGTTTCAAGGAAAGGCTTTCTTTTCAAATTCATTTCTTCTGTTTTAAAATGTCCCACATACCTCACACAAATTGGCCTTGCCGGCAACAGACTTACAAATAAACACATTTTTGTGCCAAAGCTGCCTCAACCAGCTTAGTCAAGACTAAGAATAGCAAGCCAGGCTCGCTTGTCATCACCCTCTTCCCGTCTGCTTTATCCCGAAGAAGCTTTGCTCATTCCTAACCCTTAAGGGTGTTGGGTGGGGGTGGGGGAGGGCAGGGTTTACAGCTTGCTGGAAAATTTGGTGAAGTTGCTCATTCTGTTAATTTCAAAATAACTACAGTTTTTAAATCTTAATGATTTTTTTTCTAATTACAGCTATGTTAACTCAGTCTGCCTATTCTACGGTAAATATGGAGGAATTGAGCAGGTAGAACCATAGGGAAATCAAATGATTCATTAGAAAAAGTATTTTTTACCTAATTTTTTAAGACTTTCAGAAACTTTAACATGAATTATAACAACATTTAAAGATTTCTAATAGGGTATAATTTTTCTCAGCCCTGCTTGTGTGCTCAGGTTGAGCAGTTGTCTTAGCCATCTCCACCATTCTCCATTGTTGACAAGCTAACTAAAGTTAGAAACAGCTGCATGAACAATGACACCACAGCCCAGCAGCCACAGCACTCAGTTCCTTTAAAAAACATGATCACAAGTTATGTGGGGATTAGATGGGAAGTTAAGTTTTCAATATTGGAAAGTGCAGGTAAGAAAATTAAGTATGACTGGATTTTTCAATTGCTGAAGGTAGTTCATGCACACTATACCTTCCACTTGTATCTGTTATAATCCTGAATTTGAGTTGGGAAAGGCACCGAGGTTTAGATTTTAAATGGATTTCCAGTGAAACCAAAAGAGAAAGTGCCAGCAGCTTTGTCAAGGGAGCTCATGTGTCAGAAAGACGCTGATCCTGTTTCACACACCCACGGTGTCACGAACATTCTTTGGCCTTATAAATCATCTTCAGTGGAAGGGCACACAATCTGAAGTGATCAAAAATAAAATTACACTCATCGTTTATCAGCCTTAAATTTCTTCATCCAAAGTAGGCTTAAAATCTCATAGCTTAGAATTTTTAAGTGTTAAGACTCAGTTTTTCTCCATTCATCATACAGTTTTCAAGTAGATATTGAACTGTCCCCTTTTCAACAAGCAGGTTTAACCCAATGGAGATCAGGTTGATGATAGAGCCCCTTTTCCTTCCTCTAGATTAAGGTTTTATGATATATGTTGTATTTCAGTAGAGAAAAATAAATAAAATTTTCCATTGGATAAATGTTAGTGATGGAATATGTTTTTCCCTTTATTTTATTTTTAATTGTAAAATACACATAACATAAAATTTAACAGCTTAACCATTTTAAGTGTATAGGTTAGTGGTATTAAGTACTTTCACATTGTTGTGTAACCATCACCATTATCCATCTGCAGAACTTTTTTGTCATCCCAAACAGAAACCTCTGTGCTCATTAAACAGTAACTTGCTATTGAAGAGATGTTTTTTTAAACAAGAATGGTTTCCTCAGATGTGGTACTTATTATATTTATAGTTGTGAATTATGACTTTGGGGGAAAAAAATCTCCTGCCAAAGTTTATGTGAATAACTAAGGATATGGTCCCCTTATATCTCAGTCTCATAAATTGACACTATTTATTCTTTCCTATTAAAATCAAACACGTGCTATATTAAAACATTGAATGTCATAGAATACAAATTTTTATTTGTTATTTCATAAATATACCAACTGAATATGATCTTTTAAATAATTCCTTGAATTCTAATAGAGAACTAATTTTCAAATTTTGAAGTGATAGCTCTTTTCACTCTTTCTGAACATAATTGGTTTATCAATTAAAGTGGTTTATGTGGTCTCTGTTTGGTTTAGTTTATAACTTAAAAGTAATGTTCAAAAATTTCATTTACCACATAAAATAAACAACACTATTAACTATAGGTGTATCGGATGCAAAAATTGTGTCAGTAAAATAATTTCCATGTGTACAAAGAGCTTCAAAGATAATGTCTTCAAGAAGTGTTAAAGATAAGATCAAGGTTTTATTTTCACAATATGCAGAATGTGAAATAAGCATTTTGAGAAAGCATGTATTTTCTAGGACAGGCGTGTTTCTCTGCATTATAAGTCTAAATGGTTTCTAGCATGTGCATGGCCTTTATTACCTCCCAAATAATTTTTTTTTTTTTTTTTTTTTGAGACAGAGTCTCACTGTGTTGCCTGGGCTAGAGTGCCGTGGCGTCATCCTAGCTCACAGCAACCTCAAACTCCTGGGCTCAAGCGATCCTACTGCCTCAGCCTCCCGAGTAGCTGGGATTACAGGCATGCGCCACCATGCCCGGCTAGTTTTTTCTATATATTTTTAGTTGTCCAATTAATTTCTTTCTAATTTTAGTAGAGACGGGATCTCGCTCTTGCTCAGGCTGGTTTCGAACTCCTGAGCTCAAACAATCCGCCCGCCTCGGCCTCCCAGAGAGCTAGGATTACAGGCGTGAGCCACCGCGCCCGGCCACCTCCCAAATAATTTGTTTGCTCTCATTGAAAAGAATTCTAAAGTTTTTCTGACTTTTCTTATCATAGCTCAAATTTATCAACCATGACAGTGTTCAGTATTGCTGTCGAATGCCTCCATATAATCTGAGAAGGTTTATGTTTTCTCTATATTTCTCTTCTTTGATACTACAGAGACAGTTGCCTGTCAATATGCTTATCCCTCTTGATTACAGAGAAGGGACAGAAGGTGGTGCATTTAATGGAAGTGGGAACCGGGTAGTTTAGAATTTTGGTGCACTAGTATAGTTGAACTGTTCTTAAGACTGTCACAATCTATACCCTATTCTCAATGTATAGCCATATTCTTTGTTTATATACAAGTTAGTATTGCCATCATCAGCAACAACTCATTTTCTGTTTTTGAAGTATCTCTGAAGTTAATGGCCTATAACTAAAAAGTAAAACTGTTTTGGAAACTGCTCATGAAAAATTATTTTTACCTGGGCAAAAGACGTTCTTTTCCAAGTAAATCTCATACGGGATCTTCTCTTCCACCCCACCAATGTCCTAGGTGGTCTGTCAACACTTTATTGACCTCTTCAACATGAATAGCTCCTTGCAGCCTTAATAAATTTATACATGATGGCTGTAAGAGAAAATCAGGAGACAGAGGATCTGAGACCAATGTTAGCATACAGAGAACAGAATGAATGGGAAAATGACACCAAATAAATACGGATAAGCAAATTATAGTAGTTGAAAGTCTATATATGACATGTGAGAAACTTTATTGCTTAGGGGCTAAAGAGATGTTCTGTAACTATAATCCTAATTAAAAATTACAAATCAAAAAGTATTTTTAAACAGTTTATAATTACTTGTATGGGGGATATATTTAAATTCATATTCTATGTCACTTAGCAGGTTCATTTTCTATTGAAAATCCCTCTGAATACATTTTGAAGATTATGAATATTTTGAAGTGTTTATATGTTTTGATTTATTGCAAGCGAATATTAGTTTTCTTGTTTTAAGGAAACCACCTATTTCTTTTTATTGAACTACAGCTCAAAGAGTCATTCAAAGATATCAAAAAGAAATTCAACAATTTGAAGTTTAATTACACTAAGAAAAATGAAAAAGCTCGGAATCTGAAGGCTCTTAAATATCAAATTCAACAAGTTGATATGTATGCTGAAAAAATGCAGGTAACAAAATATGGTGGGTGTATATGTGCATGTGTGTGTGCGCATGTGTACTACCACAATTATTGCAAAATCATTTTGCATTTGAATTCTAGATGCTTAACTCTTGAGTTTTTGATAGGATTGGGACTGAAAGGATAGTTTTCCATTCTTATAACAATTGGGTTCTTACCTCTTCAGGCAGCTCCAGAATGGTTTCTGCCAAACCTACCCAGACTATCTATTTCCATTCTTCCTCCCAACACATGCACACACCATTCTATGCCTCTCTTCCTTTCCTTGCAACTGCCTAAGTCAGGATTTTCCTCCACTGCTCCCATATCCTCTTATTCCTACCTTGATTATTACATGCACTGGAGAGATTATTTAAATGTTTTCCACAGGACACAGTGAGCTTATTGAGGACAAGTATTTGCTTGTATTACAATTGACTTTTTAAAAAAAAGATCATATTATTATTCTCAAAATCTGGGATAGACCCTGGTATATAGTAAATTCTCTATACATTTGCTGAATGCTGAATTAATAAAATATTTGAAAAAAACATTCTTTACAAAATATATTTGTAATAATTATGATTCTGACATATCAGAATAGAAGAAGCTCCAAAAGTTTCCTCAAATTTTTCTCTTACTATTTAATCACTAGCATCAAAAATAAAAATGGGATGTCATTTTTATAACTTTTTTTGCACAGGCTTTGAAAAGGAAAATGGAAAAAGTTGATAATAAAACTTCTGATTCTTTCTTAAATTATCCAACTAATAAAGTAAATATCCTTTTGGAAGCCATAAAGGATTTGCAAAAACACGTGGATGACTTTGACAAAGTTGTGACAGATTACAAGAAAAATTTGAACTTGACCGAGCATCTCCAGGAGGTGGTAGAAGAGGTATCTTCTTCTTGTAATGGTATCTATGTTGTAATGTTGTTTTAAAAAATTGTTTTGCTACTTTGAAGCAATGCTGCATTCCCAATTATTGTCATTGAATTTATGTATCATGCTCCTTTCCATGATTTTTTTTACTCAGGGCAATTTTTTAAAATAGAATTGCTAGACCAAAGGGAATGAATATTATAAGGTTTTTGATTGTATTGTCCAATTGCTCTTCAGAAAGGTTTTACTAGTTTACTTTTATAGGCAACGTATGAGAGTTCCCATTTCTCCACAACCTCATGAACTCAAGATGTCTAATCATCATGAAATTATGTTCACTGCAGTATATCAGTACTTGAAGTACTCAGAATTGCTTGTTTATTCCACAGAATTTGAAAATATTTATTTAAAAATGATATTGAGATTTTTCAGCTACAAAAAGTTGTTATTGGTGTTATTTTTGTTATTGTCAAGAGGATAAATGGTAAAGTATACATAAAATATGTGCAATTTGACAAATTAAAGTTATTTGCACACTTCGTTTTGAAGAAACTCTGCACTTGAAGTTCTTGAGTGTTCTTGCTCACCCATTATTCTGAGATACAAAAGCATCTCTGTTTACCACTAACACAGTTGAGTTTTTAGATTTAACACTGGATTAAGGAGGATCAAGATGATCATTCTTCTACATCTGATGTATAGGTTTTCTGTAGCTTCATGGCACTTATTTAAAACCTGCTCCAAACAGAGTCACGTGTTTCTATTTCTCATCCAGCATAAGTGCTTCTGCCCTGGGTCAGACATTCCTTCCATCACAGTTACTTATTTTTACTAAGAAACTGTTTCAATTCTCCACTGTGTTGTGAAAATATAACTGAGTATCTTCTACTTGAAAAAGGTGAAATGCTATCCTTTGGATGATATTTCCCCCATTCATAAATTTAATCTTATTCTTAAAAGAGAATGTATTTATTAGAATATTAACCAGATGATACTTTTACTCATGTACTGTTAATATCAGTTCATTATGTTAGGTTTGAGTGATTTGGCTTTTTTCTTGCCATTTAGCTGATATTTAGATTCTTTTTAGTGCCAAATGCTTTTTAATGCTTTTTGTGCTGGCTGTTCTTGTAAGTCTGTAACATTCCTCTTAGGAATTAGATTTTAAGCAAACCTAAGAAGGCGGGAAAATCAGTTGTACTTCCATACTTTTGCTTTCTTATAATTTTATTTATATGTATTCTCATACTTAAACTTTCTTATTTCTGCCTCTAATATCCAAGTGCAAAATATATGATCATATTTTGATATATTCTTTATTGTGACTTAGAAAGTTCAAACCAATGTGAACATAAAGTCTGAAGGAATTAAAATTTGATACTTCACTGGTCAAAATGAAGAACTTTAGAAGGATGGTGTCTCTTTAATCTGTGCTTTATCTCATTTAAATTTAGTGTCACTTTTGGTATGAAGATGCAAGCGCCACAGTTGTAAGAGTTGGAAAATATTCCACAGAGTGCCAGACAAAGGAAGCTGTGAAAATTCTCCACCAGCAGTTCAATAAGTATATCGCGCCCGCAGTGCCTCAGCAAGAAGAAAGGATTCAGGAGGCCACTGACCTTGCTCAGCGCTTATATGGTAAGATCTGTTTTAGGATATGTAGTGATTTGCCATTGAACAAATCTATACTGAGCCTAATCCAGCAGAAAGCAAGAGTGCGGCAAACCCTCAGAGTCCTCACTATACCAACCTATTGAGGGAAAAGGCTCAAGATAAGAGTCCACACCCAGTGAAAGAAAACAGTGAGGAATAGTGGGAGGAACTTCTGACAGCAGGAGATGAAGCCTGATGATTTTTAACAACTTTGTGTAAGCTTTCCTTTTCTATTCCTTTTTCTCCTCCATCCCTGTTGTTCATTTCCAGGGTAATAAAGCCAGAACTACGCTCAGATTATATGGACAAAAAGAAAAAAATACCTAATTTCCACTAGACTGATTCCTTGAAAACATACACAACTCCGGTAATACTTTAAATAGGCATAAAGCTAAGACTGACATCTGTAGCCTTCTCATTCCTATGAGGGTTTTGGTTCACGGATTTGAGAAAGGACTGCAATATCCTCCTTCACCTTCCTCTCACTTGTGGAAGAAATGAGAGAACTCAAATAATCGTTTTCATAAGTTTTGCTTTCTCTCTTCCATAACTAGGAAAGATAATAGCATTGTAAAGGTGAGAAGTCCTTCTTCCTAAAAGAGTCCCCCATTTAAGAAGTCCCTGGGTGGTGACAGTCCTTGAGGGCTCTGAGGAATAAGTTCCATGAATTCCCTGATACCGTTCCCATGAGACCATGAGTAATTCCCAGTGACCGAGCAAATGCAGCACAGAAAGAAGACACAACTGGTGGTACGAAAGGCTGCCCGAGGTTGCTGCCAGATATTTTCTCTTATAACAGGAAGCGCTATCCATGGAAAGCCATAAAATTTTGTAGAATGTAGACTGCACTAGCTAATGTAAATTATTGAGAATGAATTATTCACGATTTTCCAAAAGAAAAGGGTAGAAGTATAAAAATAATAAAATATAGATGGAAAAATTAATGAAAAGTCATGTGATGTCTCCTTCTTGCTACAATTACTGTAGAAATGCACTAAAAAATTTTGGAAGCACTCTGTTCCTGTAGCATTGTGTATGTTTCCCTCTATTACTGTACTTTTCACATTGTACTATAAACATGTGTTTTATTTGTCCATCCTCTCTGCTAACCATAAGCTTCTTAAGAACAAGGGGAGCATATTTTATCACTGTATTTGTGCCTGTATCAGTTGTATCAGCATACTAACTGCTTAACAGATATTTGATGAATCATCGAGTGAGTAATATGAATGAATAAATGAATGACATGAGTCTTCATCTATTCAGTATGGAAGCTATACCTTTTTAAAATTTGCATCAAGTAAGATACTTCAGGAAGATTATATCAACTCTTGAAAGCAACTCAAGCATTACTGAACCCAGAATTTTAAGGCAAATAAATTTATCTAAAAAAAATTTTTTTATAACTGTTATATACTAAGAGCTGTGGTGGATATAAAGATAAATAAAACCTAGTTCCCGTATTCAAGAAACCACAATCTAGGCCTTTACATCATGATATGGTAAATGCAATGAGAAAGGTATAAAATGTGTACATTAGTTTGCTAGGGCTGCCACAGCAAAATACCGCAGACTGGGTGGCTTAAACAACAGAAAGTTGTTTTCTCATGGTTCTAGAGGCTGGAAGTCCAAGATCAAGGTGCTGGCAGGGTTAGTTTCCTCTGAGGCCTCTCTTCTTGGCTCCCTGATGGCCACCCTCTTGCTGCCTCTTCACAAGGTCATCCTCTGCCCACTCACACCCCTGGTGTCTCTCCCTCTTCTTTAAGGGGACCAGTCATATTAGATTAAGGCTTCATTCTAATGGCCTCATTTTAATTTAATCACTTCTTTAAAGACCCTATTTCCAAATACTGCTATATGCTGAGGTACTGGGAATTAGGACTTCAACATATGAATTTGTCAGGGGAAGGGGACACAGTTCTGCCCATAACAAGGTGCAGTACAGCTTGGCCTGGGCTCTAGGGTCAGGCCTGGGTTTAAATCCCTGTTCCTTCAATTATTGTCTGTGTCACTTGAATAAGTTTCTTTGGGCATCAGATTCCTCATTTGCATAATGTGAGTAGTAATAGAACCTACCCAAGGATTACATTAGATAATGCGTATAAAGTATCTAGCAAAAGGCAAATAGTAAGTACTCGCTACATGGTAGCTGTTTTTATTATTATTCCAATAGAGAAAGATAAAATCCAGTTGGGGAAGATTAAGAACATTTTCACAGGACTGGGTACAGTGGCTCACAACTGTAACCTCAGCACTGGGTGGCCAAGGTGAGAGGACTATCTGAGGCCAGGAGTTTGAGACTAGCCTACCAACATAGTAAGACCCCTGTCTCTACAAAAAAATAAAAAAATTAGCTGGGCATTGTGATACATGCCCACAGTCCTAGCTATTCAAGAGGCTGAGGTAGGAGGATTGCTTGAACCCAGGTGTTCAAGACCAGCCTGTGCAACATAGGGAGACCTGTCTCTACAAAAATAAAAAAGGAACATTTTCACAGAAATATTGGCATTTGAGGTAGATCTTGAAAAGTAGATAAAATTTTGACAACAGAAATAGCGAGTCAGGGGAAGGCATTCCTGTATAGGAATGATTACTCAATGGCTGTGAGGATTTTCAGGGAACAGTTGCTGGTTCAGCTTGGCCAGAGACTAAATACATGCAGGAATTAGGGTGGTATACATTTGGGAGAGGCAAGTTGAAACCATATTATGGAGGGCGTTGAATACCATCCTGAGAAATTTATATTTTTCTAAGCAGTGAAGAATTACTGAATATTCTGAATAGGAGAAACCGATTGGAACTGAGCTTTAAAAATATAATATAGCAACATTATTTATGTTACATACAAGTGACATGGTACAGCAAATGTAATTATTTTTCTAGATCCTTGGATTTTCAAAAAAGTGCCTTTATTCATATATTTATCCATTCAGCAAATATTTGTTAAGAACTTACTATCCACCAGCCCTTATACCAGCCGCCAGGGAGATAAACTAACTCTTGGACTTTTTTTTCCTGCTAATGAGTTTACCTTTAAAAATAGTTTTATCTTTCTCCTCCCCAGGTGTGGAAGAAGGGCAGAAATATATTGAGAAAATAGTGGCAAAACACAAAGAGGTTCTTGAATCCATTACTGAATTATGTGCGTCTCTCACAGAGCTTGAAGAAAAACTGAAGGTAATTTCTTCTTCCCAGAACATGTATTTTCAAGTGATATAAATAAAAATGTGTTGATCAAATGTCTTATGATGCAAAGATGTTCTAATAGAAATTCTCAAGGGACATAATGTGCACATTTGTTTCACAGCTTTCTAACATAATTATCTGAGTGTTTCTGATAATTAATTCTGTTTCTTTCCCATCACTGCAGAGAAAAATATTGCTGGGAATGAGGGCTAAACACAATTAAGGTGTCTCATTTACATTTTCATGGATCATAGCCTAAAAAATAAATGTGTGCCATTAAAACCAAAGTAAAGTCCGTATCAAGTAGCCTATAGTCCTGTTCATAAATCATAGATGTCAGGTTTTTTTCCCTCCAAATTGTGACACCAGAGAAAATAAAACTATAATCATATTTATAATAATTTATAATATTTATTATTGATAATTTTCAGATATTATCTTCATTGGACATTTTGCTTCATGGAAATAGTAAACTAATCATGATCACTTTTCACAGAATAAAAATTGATGATAGCCAGACACAGTGGCTCACGCCTGTAATCCTAGCACTCTGGGAGGCCGAGGCAGGTGGATCACTCAAGGTCGGGAGTTCAAGACCAGCCTGAGCAAGAGCGAGACCCCGTCTCTACTAAAAACAGAAAGAAATTATCTGGACAACTGAAAATATATAGAGAGAAAAATTAGCCAAGCATGGTGGCACATGCCTGTAGTCCCAGCTACTTGGGAGGCTGAGGCAGGAGGATCGCTTCAGCCCAGGAGTTTGAGGTTGCTGTGAGCTAGGCTGACGCCACGGCACTCTAGCCAGAGCAACAGAGCCAGACTCTGTCTCAGAAAAAAGAAAAAAAAAATTGATGATAAAAAGTATAGAGAAAATGTTTATGTCTTATGTCTAGGCAAAAACCAGTTGAAAGAGAAATACATATGTTGTTTTGTGTATGTCATGTCAAAACTCGTTTGGTTAATGCTGTTTCTACAAGTGGCTGGAAGAATGGTTATTGTGGATGGGTAGAAGAGCAAGGTCATTATGAATATAGGCTCTACAGCAAAACAGAGCTGCCTTGGAATACCAACTCCCCAAATTATTGGATTTGTGACCTTGAGTAAGTTATGTAATCGCCCTGAGTCTCAGTTTTCTGATCTACAAAATGGACCACAGGGTAGCACTGAGGACTGAATGTGAAGATGCCCAAGACTGTCGTTGTGATTATTGTTGTTATTGCAGCCCTGTGGTGGTCTTGCAGTTCAGAGCAGAATTATATTTATTTCTAGCAACTATTTTTTCTATTTGAATTTCGATATCATAAATTTGTGTGCCTATTCCAGTCAAATCATTTGAGAGGCTTCTAATTCAGCAGGAGTCCAACCAAATTATATTTTTCCTTTGGCTAAAAATCTAGATTTTTCAACGTTTTTACCATTTTAAATAAAGCTACCATGAACATCTTCATGAATAGCTTTTTCTTTCTCTTCTGTTATTACCTACCCATAAATTTTCCAAAGCAGACTTGAGAAAAATGAAATTTTTAATGTATGAAATTGCTAATGTTTCTAACATATGTGTTAAATTGTTTTCCATAAGTGTTTTACAATCATAATGCCACCAATAATGGATGAATGGACCATGTATCTTACGTTATCTCTTTCAACATTATCATTTTCTTCCTGCCTCAACCCCACCTCTGAGAATCTGCTGCTTCCCCTGACTTCGTATACACAGGCTGAAAATCGCTGCTTTCTCTAACTCTTTGCTCTGCGTTGTCTACAGCATCCCTCCCATTTCTGTTGTACGTCTTCAAGAGAGATTCAGCTTAGTAAAGTGTACTGTCTCGTAGTTATATCCCTCTCTAGCTTTTCACCTTTGTGGCTATTCTTCCTGAAAGAGCTGTTTCCACAGCTTCTTCTCTTCCCCATTCCCCAATCCTTCCACACGCCCTGCAGTTGGGATTGTACCCTCTCTTTCTCATGCTCAACCCATCACTTGGATTCTTTTTTTGCACTAGTCAGGAGTCCCCTAATTATGCATCCAGCTAGATTATCCTTCCTAAATACAGTTCTGCTAGTGTCATTTTCTTATTCTAAGCACCTCACTACAAATTCTTCACTGTTACCAAGTTCAGTTCAGACTCAAGGCCTTCCAATGTTCTGAATCCGATCACCTTTCCCAACCACTTCTACATTCATTGTTCCTGCCCCACCGGTCTACGACATTCCCTGGGGTTTCCTACTTCTAAACCTTTACTTCAAGTACATGACCTTCTGTCTCTATTGAAATCTTAGCATCTCTTAAAGCCAAACCCAAATACTGCCTCCTCCGTAGATCCTTCCTTAGCTGTATCACTCCCTCTCTGATCTCCCATAGCACTTGTGTTCTTTCCTACCTGTCCTCATCCATTCAGGCTGCTATACCAAATGTGATAGACTGCTGGCTTATAACCAATAGAAATTTATTTTTCACAGTCCTGGAGGCTGGGAAGTCCAAGATCAAGGAGCCAGCAGACTTGGCATCTAGCGAGGTCCCACTTCCTCATAGACAGCCGTCTTCTCACTCTAACCTTACACGGTGGGCGGACACAGGGTCTCTCTCAGGCCTTTTTGATGAGAGCACTAACCCCATTCATGAGGGCTCTACCTTCATGATCTAATCACTTCCCTAAGGCCCCCACCTCCTAATACCATCACCTTGGGGTGTGGATTTTAACATATAAATTTCAGGGGAACATAAACATTCAGATCATAGCATTACCATAATCATCATATATAACTACTATTACCATCCCAGACACCCTACTTGATTATACAGAAGGAAACCCCCTGGCTCTGCTCAGTTTAGTGTTCCACACAACATTTAACACTATGTGTTGCCTTTTAAAGCAGGTTCTCCAGAAAAGGTTTTGGCATTTATAATAAATGCCCAAAGGATTTTGGTACAGAGAAGAAGAATCATTCAGTAGCTTGAAAATGTTCAATTTGGGTGGATATAGAAATGAGGAAGGGCTTCTCTGGCAAGAAAAATAGGCATCAACATTACCCTTATTACCCTTATAGCCACAACAAAAGCTTGCCAAAGAATGCTTAACACTTTACAGATGTTTGTATGGAAAGCACAAATGTCTAGTTTTTACGTTTTTAAGGTTGATGCTATGGCTCTCTTTTCAGGGGTTATTAAAAAGTGTGCCCAGTAATCTCTGCCAACGCTGAAATAGTGATAGAAAAAAATCTTTCTAATGGATAGCAATTTGAGATTTACAAAGGACTTTCATATATATTATCTCCAGTGATTTCCAAATAACCTTGAGATGGAAATAAGGCAAGTGTTTTCTTTGTTGCAGTGGTGAAGGGACAAGTCCAGAGAGGGTAAAAGTGCTTTACGTAGGGCCCAACTCTCAGTAGTGGTGGATCTGGACTTTGAACTTAGATCTAATTCAAAATCTAGTGTTCTTTCCACAACAGTTGACATTTTGGAATTAGATATCAAGTGCGTACCAAAGCAGAGTGACTCATCCAGTAGCACAAACGAGTTTGGTTTTAGAATTCAGACTAAAAGCTGACTCTCCCTGAATCCTCAAGCCAGCATCTCGCATGCGTCTTAATGAGCATGGCTGTTGTATTAAGGCCCATCTAATGACAGTGTTCCAGGTGGAATGGTCTTTTGTTGTGGTAAAATCATTATCGTAAACTGTTGTGTTCTGTCACTTGAAGTACCAGTGGCTCCTTTCACTACCTCAAAGTCCTCTCAGCTGTCACATTGGCTCCACAGCACTTTGCAAACCCCCACTACCTTAAGGACCAAAACTGAGCCCCGTGAAATGCAGAAACAAAATATCATCACCCAGGTGAAGCATCCTGTGTTCTCAATTGCTGTTTTTCTTTATTATGCTCAGGAATATTTCTTTCCTCTTTTCACCAGTCTCCCAAACATTTCCCTTGTGTAGATTCTCTGGAATTCCCACTCTCTTCACCAGACCTTTAATCATTTCTACCTCATTGCTGCTCCCCAGACTCTCCTAATGGTTTAAACTGCCATGCATAATGATTCCTTTCTCCAGAGACAGCTCCTGCAGGAGCATCCTATTATAACAATTACTTTTTTTCCTGCTGGGCCTTTGAACAACCAATTTTTACTGGCAACGAACTTTATCAAAGGAATGACGCAGGAGGGAAACTGTGAGCTTGGAGGGATCACTTTATAAATCACATCATGGGAGTACATCAGTCTCTTGTGGAATTCATTTGCTGAAAGGTTGCAAGTGGTCTGTGTTTTCTTCCAAGTAGTTAGAATATGGCACTGTTCCTCCAACGTTCCTGGCCAGGCTCTCACTATCCATTGCTTCATACAGCAGGGAGACATTTTAAAGATGAGTCCACACTGTGAAGACTTCCGTGACAATTGCATTGACCTACTAAAGGAACAAACAAGAAATAAGCAGACAATATTCAGTGAAGAAAGGAATAAGGTAAAGAAAACTACTTAACCTTGGCTACTCATGACTTTTGTTTTGAGATTAGCTAGAGTCATTGTGCATTGCAAAATAAAAGAGAATTGAAGGCTTCTTATCTTTCCAAATAGAATCTCGCAATGTAAATGCAATGTGAGTTCCTCGTCCCTTACTTCCTGTCTACTCTGTCCCTTACTTCCTGTCTACTCCATACTTAGTCCTTCTTCTCTTTCCTATGTTATTCTCTCTGGGCCTCTTCTATTGAGTACTAAAACCATGGCATTCACAATGACATTGGGACAGCCACATAAATGCCATAATGTCACCCCAAACCACTTCTATTTTCCATCTCTAGTGGACTTTTCCATTGTCTTTTTTTTTTTTTTAAATAAAGACGAGGTCTCACTCTCTTGCCCAGGCTGGAGTGCAGTGGCTTGACCATAGCTCACTGCAGCCTTGAACTCCTGAGCTCGAACAGTCCTCCCACCTCAGCCTCCTGAGTAGCTGGGACTATAGGCAAGCACCACCACACTTGGCTAATTTTTTAAAAATTTTTTGTAGAGACAAGGGTCTTGCTATGTTGCCTGGGCTGGTCTTGAACTCCTGGCCTCAACCAATCCTCCCACTTCAGCCTCCCTAAGTGCTAGGATTATAGGTGTGAGCCACTGCACCCAGCCTCCATTGTCTTTTTATATTTAATCCTACTTCAAATTTTACTTCTTTCTCTTTATCATACCACCAAGCCATGATTTTTATTGTTTTATACTACCTATTAGAAAACTTTGTACAGTAAATTAGATTGTATCTTGTTTCCATAGACACTACTTCTAAGCTGGTATTTCCAGGCACATGTACTAAAACATAGACTCCAGCTGAAATATAAATACTGAAATATTTAGAGGAATGTTTGAATTTCCTTAAAATCTATGCCTTTACTGAAAAATTAAAGCATGTGGCAAAGACTACAAATACTCACAAAATGTAAACGTATATTTTGAAAGTATTATTTAAATCACAACATCACGATGGTTTTTCAGTATAAGTTGGTCACTCTCTATTCATAGCTGCTGTACTATAATTAGCTCGTGACTTTTTGCTTTGCCACGTTGCCTGCTCCCAATGTTTCTGTCCCAAGGACCTGAGAAACAAGCAGAGTCAACATTATTCTCAATTGCCCTCAAATTAATAAAATTTACTTCTTGTGGTGTGAGAGTCAAAACCAAACAAGCAAAACCCTTCCTATTTCTTGCAGTTGTTTCATGAAGAAAGGTTGCTCTTTCCTTGAAGTCAATATAGCTTGTTTATGGGTCCTGTTCCATGGGTTAAATCTATGCCAAGGTCCAATGCAATTATACAACCACCAGGCAGCAAGTACCATTAAGCAAGCTGGGTTTGTTCTTTGTTTGTTTTTGTTTTTTTTTTAATGGTATAGCCTTGAGCCACTTAAACCCTGATTCCTCTCTGAGGCAAAGAAGAGCTGCCAAATTTTGGTCATCTTGTTGGATCTCAGTATTACATCAAATGGTTTTGGTTACTCTGATTGGTCTAAATCAGGGCTTCTCAACTCCAGCACTATTGGCATTTTTGTCAGAGAATTCTCTTTTGTAGGGGGCTGTCCTGTGCACTGTTGGGTGTTTAGAAGCATCCCTGGTCTTACCCACTAAATGCCAATAGCGTCTATTGTTATGCTAAGATCATCCCGATTGAGAATGACTGGTTGCTGTAATAAAGAATAGCATTAAATGCACCACATTTTCTTAAATAAGTTTCTAAGAGTGACCAAATCCAACATCATATTATTTATTTTATTTAATTCTGCACAATTTCCTACATTGTGAACTAGGCACATTTACTAAGAACTCAGAAACCAAAGTTAATGTGAAAACAAACACAATAATCTATACTTAGTAAAAATGATTTTTCATGGTTTTATTTTTTTTTATTATAAGAAACAGCTTCCTTTAACTAAAAAAGCAAGATTTACTTTCATTGAAAAATCATTTTTATTCTAATATAAACTAAACGACAGGATAGCTCATCAGTCATTTGGGGTATAAGTAAAGGTCCACAATTACAGTCGTCAGGAATAATTGTTGACATCATTTCACATTCTGCTGCAATTGGTACAGACAGCAAAATGAAAGGGTGGCAGTAATCTTCAGTTTTAAGTAGCTCAAGCACATTTACCCTTTTATTGTCTCTATTATTTATATATAGATCAGATGTAATAATTCCCCAAAACATCGTGTGGATAGATAACAGGAAGCACCAAGTAAAACCTTGTCCAGGAATTATTGCGTTTAATTCCAATACCTTTAAATGTTGTTAGTCTTCCTCAGAAAATTATTTGAATCAGAAGGAACAGTTCTACCAAACTATTACAAGAATATATTCATCACAGAAATTTTTTTCCTAGAGATAGCAAAGTGCTTCTCATTTTTTCTGACCCCAAAATGCAGTAGGTAGAATCAGGCAATTCAGTAAATGCAATGCACATAGTGCTGTTAACAGATTAGTGATAATGTTTTATCCTCAAGGTGAGCACCGAAGCTAAATCCACAATAATATCTGAAACCCCTAAGGTTAAAAGGAGACACACAGTATTAAGAGGCTTGCCTAAAGTCGTGGAACTATTCGATGGAAGATGAGGGGTTTTGATGCCAGCATTTAGAGTTATAGAATTTTAGTGCTGGAAGGGGTTTAACAATCATCTGATCAAATCTCATTTTACAGTTGAGGAAACCGAGGTCAAAAGAGATTAAATATCTTGCCCTCCAAAAATCACAGAAAGCAGTGTCAGAACTGGGCAGGCAGCCCAATTCTCCTGAATTTCAGCCATGAACTTTTCCCACAAGACCAGGGGGGAGCTCCCAGGAACTGCTGCATATAAATAAGCTGTTTTGTAATGATACTGTAGATGTTCATGCCAAACCTTGCCCTATCTGTTTACATGATGATTAATAAAGCAATAGCTTGGAAATATAATACTTTCATACCAAATAATTCAGTGAAGTGCTCTTATCAGACTGGGTGAGGTCAGTTTGCTAATCCTGATCACCTGGTAGGTGGGGGAAGATGTTCTTGAGACATCCTTGCTTTGGAAAAAATTAGAAAGGGACAAAGTATTCTTCTTCACCACCTTTCTGTTTTCTTTTACCTTGGCCCCCCCCAAGTGCCCAAAGGTACCAAATTCGCTCCTTGGCTGCCTAAAGCTGCCTATAAGGGTCTTCTTCAGAAACGTCTTTCATAGCCCAAGCCCTATGTTCAGTATGTTTCTTTGTGTATTTCTCACTTACCTTCATTAAATCTTGTTTACCCTAAAGTAAGACTATCTATTGTGGAGATATTTTGGAAGGTAAAGTCCTGTGGTGTTCCTTTAAATTTACTCCATAGGTGGTTCCCTGCCCTAAGTACTTTGAGGATAGGTGCTGCCCATTTCATTGGATAGACGGAGAATAATATCATTATGTTGTTCCTTCCTGACACTTTGCCTATATAGCAAGGATTGTCAATTTAAGTGATCATGGACATCAATGGAAACAAAAGTTCAGTAATCCCTACAGAGATAAGACCCAAAGCTATAGATTTAGGATTAATTAAAAGTTAATTGATCATTGGGTATGAAAGTGGGTGAGATCTTTGAGGGAGGAAAGTATATAGTGAAGATTAGAGAACTTAAAGAAAAAAACCACAGGTTATTTATGTATTTAGAAGGCAAGAAAAGAAAAAGGAATCAACAAAATGACAAAGAGCAGCCTCCCAATTTGATATTAGGGAAACAAATTGAGAGCTGAGCTATATTTTGGTGAAGTAAATCAGAGTTTCCAGCTATTTTACCAGAACTCATCAGACTGATGTAAATATGCCCTGTCTGTACTGAGATACACAGATTTATTAATATTCTGGAAACACACACACATGCACATACACACACACATTTCTTTTTTCTAATAGCAAAGATGATTTTATGGGGGAGGGGAATATAAAAAAATGGTATGTGTAAATGTTTGGGTACTATTTTTATAAACAGAAACTAGATAGATATAGGAAACTATAGCTTAGTGAGTTTTAAAAGAAATTTCTGTAAAATTCCATAATGACTTAAAAACTGAAGCCTTATTTGCATTTGAGAATAAAGGCAGAAGTGCCAAGCGTCAAATGGATTTACTCAGAAAAACATCTACATTAAACTCACCTTATTTTGCTTGCCGAGATGATTATTTAATGGGCAATTCTAGGTTAGTGCTATAGGGCTAATTTCTTGTGATTTCAAGAAGTCATTTGATAAACACATTCATGATACTGTCTTAAGATAAATGGTGAAATGTGAACTGAGTGAGAGTTTGGTTGGGTTATAATTGTACCCAGCTGTTAAGTTCATCAGTGTCAACCTGGAAGGCAGTGTGCTTTGGCTTTGTTCTAAACTCTGCAGTGTACAGCATTTTTATCAATGGTGTTAATGGACGGAAGAGGTAGGAAATTTTAGTTGACTAAAAACTCAGTATGAATCAATGGCCCCATGTGGTTCTTATGAAAACAAAAAATGAACTACTATAATTACTTTAATAAAAACATATCATATAGATCATCAAGGAGATGATGATTCCACTGATTACTTACCATCTGGAAAGTAAGTAGATTCTAGAAACAAACATATTTAACAGGGAGTATTAATTAATAAGTTGAAATGTTTCCAGAAAAAAATTTCAGAAATTTTCCTCCCTCTTAGTAGAAATTATCTGGTGGTATTATTTTCTATGGAAAGTACTTTTCTATTTTAGGAATTGTAAGATGTGAAAAAAATAATATTCTTGGATTCCCTTTGTGTGTTTGGCACCAACTTAAACATAGGAGTCAGGAATCAGTAACCAATAAAAGCTGAATTGGAGGACATGGCTTGGACTTTTCTAGTGGGTTTCCCAAAACTTCACATCTGATTTCGATAGACGTACCTATCCATCCACTTGGGTGCACATCTAGACACCACCAGCTTCCTACAGGGGATTTTCATGTCTTAGAGCCAGCATGAACACACCATTTGGTGGACAGCAAATCCAACAGAGAGGGCCTCCTTAGAAGGAGCTGTAGCCGGGCAGGAGTCGAACCTCCCAGAAAGTGCCCAAAAGAATGAGAGAGAGTTAAGGCAGAAGAAGAGGGTGTTTGGTACAAAGAAAGAGACTTAAAAGCTGTGGAACTGATGCTCCAAACAGTCAAAGAGCTGTTAAAATTGGAGAGCAGTTGGACTTCTGTGTAGCTGTAGGAGGCCACTTTAGATCCATTGGTGGAAAATGCAGGGAGGCCGATCTTTGCTAAATATAGGAATACATTCTTAACACAAGTAAGGCATAAGTTTCTCAAAGAAAGTACCCTTTCAAAAAAGTGTTCAAATAGAGGCTGCCAGAATGTCACAGAGGGAGATTCTTAGACTGAATAGGAGGTTGGATGAAAGTTCCTACAAGAAGGAATATAAGCACTCTGCTTTCCGGAAGGGATGGAGGGAGGGGCCGAGCTCAGCTGTAGCAGGGCAGCCAAAAGAGGGAGGGGCGTTCCCTGCCACACGTGAGTTATTTAGTAATTTTTTTAACGAAAGGAATTTCTAAGAACTTCTGGGTTTTAAAGCCAGAATTTAAACTTCTACTAAATGGCTGAAGGAAACCACTTTCTGTAAGCTGGGTTTATGCTTTCTCCGAGGGGAGATCTTCACTGTGGGAAAGCAGAAAGACCCATTGTTTTGCTTCTAGTCTTCAACCTGAAATTGCATTTACTCTCTCAAAAATCACTTATAAAGTGTGTGTCAAGAGCAGGATTATGGACTAAAATGAAGAACTCAAAGTCAAGGCAAGACATGACTTTCCTATGTGCATTAGTTGCATGGGACAAAAACCAGTACATGGTAACTAAGTAAAAGTGCACCCAAAATGCTGAGGAAAGGCACAGAAAGTAGATGTAAAACAAGCAGGTTGGGAGAGATGAGATCACTTTTCAGCTTCAATGTTCTTTTGAGTGTCTGCCACAAGGGACAGTTGAGCCTCTTCTTAAACCAGAGATGGACATGGATCAGCGGGGAGAACGAGTGGGAAGTGTCAGCAGGGGGAGAAGTACTGCATTCACGGCTCCTAGCAGGACCTACACTCCACTGGGGGCATAGAGACAAGTGACAGGTGCTCCCCCATTGTATCTTGGTGTGCTGCCTTGTGACAGGCCATCACATGTGATAATTCCACCAACATCTACCTCCCTCGCTAGGCTGTTGTCTCCACGGTGCAGAGACTATGTCTCCTTTTACTCACTGCATTATTCCTCTAATGCCCAGCAGGGTACCTGGTATAAAGATACCATGGAGCTCCATAAATATTTTTTTCAATATGACAATAAAACTGAGGGGCTTTAAGAAAACAAAAACAGTCATTAAGAATGGCTTTCTCTAGATGAGGTACATAGAGTCCAATTCACGGAGACAGAAGTAGGATGGTGGCTGCCAGGAGCTGAGTCAGGGGAAAGGGGAGCAGGTGGGGAGTCAGTGCTTGATGGGTACAGAGTTTCAGTCTGGAAAGAGGACAAAGTTCTGGAGATGGATGGTGGTGACAGTTACACAACAACATCAACACACTTAATGCCACTGAACTATATACTTAGAAATAGTTAAAAGGGTACATTTATTTTTCCAAGTACAGTATATGACTTTCAAAAAAATGGTACATTTTATGTTACGTATATTTTACTATAACTAAAAATATGTCTTTCTTGAGAGAGAAGAGGGGTTATTCTGGGAAGGTCCGAGGGGTCACTAACAAGGAGGTCTCTGTGTTCACACGGAGTGTAGACAAACCAGAAAAAAAGCAGAATTTACTGGTTGAGGAGACTCCTCAGGTCACGGTTTGAAAGATGTTGATTCAGTCCAACCCCTTCATTACAAACAAAAACGAGGGCTTGCTCTCTTCCATTTCACAAGGTCTATTCCATTTGACTCAGAGTCTTGAGGTCAACTTAACTATTCCTTGGTTGTGGGACGAGACTGTGCCCAGATCAGACAAATGGTACTAGGTCTGTAGTCCTCGCTCCGGGCCCCTAAGCTTGGACTCACTGTAGATTTTCTCAAGTTGTCTCTCTGAAGTTGAGTTTCACTTTAATTGAACTTGGTAAAAGAAAAGTGAACTAAGGAGGCTTTGGCTTTTCTCTTTTGTAGGGGCAGGTGCAGGTGGCAAATGTTGTGCCCATCGACGGAACAGGGGAAGATGGGCTTCCAGGGCACCTGCAGCAGCTGTCCACTGCCAAGGAGGGCAGCGTCCAGGGCCCACTCCCGCCTGAAGACATACTGTCGGAATACGAGTGTGTCTCACCTGATGACATCTCCTTGCCGCCACTCCCGGGAAGCCCTGAGTCCCCCCTCGCGCCGTCTGACATGGAGGTGGAGGAGCCTCCCAGCTCCTCCCTCGGCCTTCTCATAAGCAGCCACGGGGTGCAGGCGGCGGCCAGCAGTCCAGAGGAGGCCCAGGAATCTGTTCTTCCACCACCTGTTGCTTTTGCTGATGCATGCAATGATAAAAGAGAAACATTTTCAAGTCATTTTGAAAGGCCTTCCCCCCAATTCAAAGCAGAATCCCCATTAACCTCCGGAGGATTTCTGGAAAAGAGTACTGCCTTGCACAAAATGAGTGTAGGACATCCAGAGAGCATGCCGAGTGAAGCGCATGAGAGAGCTTTACAGCAGCACCCTCAGGCTCAGGGCCGTTTGCTAGAGACACGGGAGAAAATGCATGCTGATAATAACTCCACTAAAACCCGGGCCAGGCTGCATGCTTCCCCCGATGCATTCTCGGGACTCAGGTTTCCATCAGGCATCAGCCGGGGCTATCAGAGACAAATGGTTCCCCAAGAAGAGATTAAAAGCACATCAGCAAAGAACAGCGTGGTCAGCATAGCTGACCAGGCACCTAATTTCTCCAGGCTCCTGTCTAATGTAACTGTTATGGAAGGTTCTCCAGTGACTTTGGAAGTTGAAGTAACAGGATTTCCAGAGCCTACACTGACATGGTGGGTAGCCTATAATGACAAGCCATAAACAGAAACAAATTGAGTCATGGAGACAATCATTCTGCGGGCACTAACTTAAGAGTTTAGGGCTTGCTGATTAATATTCTACCACGCTGCAACTCTGCATGATTCAATCTCCTGTCAACCCCCAACTCTCACTTTAGTAGCAGCATGGTTGATACCCTTAAGAAAAAAAAAGTAACCATATAAAATAATAATTTAACAAACTCCAAAAGCACTGGAAGTTGGTTGTGCTTGTTTTTGTTTTTCTTTCTGTTTAACATTCCACATTTCTAAAGATTGTGGGTTGCAGTTCTTTCCTATTGTCTATTTCTACACAAGCATGAAATTTTCTTAAGGTTACTTCCCTTATGCAATTAAAAAACGTAAGAATCTGGGGTTTTCCCTTTTCTCTCACTTATCTATTTCATCTTCTCCATCTTTCCAATAGAGTCACACTTGCCACTTTAATAATATTTGTTTGTTTTACTAAGATTTCTTTTTCTACATTTGTTCGATGTGAGAGGTGGAATAACAATATTTCTTTCACAGTTGTTCCAGGTGACAGGCAGTAAACCCATTTTTGAAATGTAGTGTCATAACTGAGTTGTGAACAATATAATTTCACTCCGGAGACATCATTATTTTTAACCCTATTTGGTTTAGTAAAAGGAAACTGTAGAAGACAGGTTTTGAATCACCTACTGTTGTTAACAACAGAAGCAGTTCTAACTTTCTCAATATGTGGGACACTTTTAAACATGGAGAATTTTTTGTCCTTAAGTAGATTTATTTGAGGACAAAGTTACAAATACATTGAGAGTGAGTTTATACTTATAAACTAAGTAAAATAACATTTATTTATCCTAATGTTTTGGTAGACATAATTAACAGTTTCAATTATTATATGTGCCCACTGATGGTACTTGAAGTGTGAACTGGTTATCTAAAGAACTTACGAGAAAACTTTGGTTTCTCAAATTATTAAAAGAAATTGCACTTCTGCTATAGTGCATCCACTTACCCTTTTTGTTTTATTCTATTGTTTTTACAATTGCATGCTTTTTACAAATCAGGAATTTCACATTTATGAGTTTAAAAGATATTGAATTCACTATTAAATCTCAGTTTACCCCAAAGAAAAATGTTGTCTGACGTGTCTCTTGTTTTTGTCCATATGATAAATAACCTGGTTAGTATATGTGGTTGAAGAACCACTGCAGCAATATATTGTTTAAAAACTATTGCAATATCATGAAAAAATATTTTGCTATCAGATTTACAATTTTGCTCAATTAACAACTGTCAAACTATCGGGGAATCATATATTTTTAGGAGGACACTAAAATGCAAAATTGTCACTTAGGCAATGGGAATAGAAAATGATTCAGGTTTGCCATAATCACTCCTTGTGTGGAAGAATGTGGGTAGAAATAAACAAGAGTCTTGCATACACAAAATAAACTATTTGCTCTATAAAAAGATGCAGTTAAGTGCTCATGTTCATAGGAAATTTTTAGAAATATATCCTTAACAGTCATAATCCCATTGCACACATGCCTTTTATAATAGAAATTCCTTTCTTCTTCTAATGAAATTAAGTTACAAAAACTAAGTGAACCCATTTCATCAGGAGATGATGCGTAAGTACTGTCCTTTTAAACAGCACATCTGTCGTGTGGGTCTTGTGGTGTGAATGTGATGGGCAGATGAGTCTCCCTCCCATATGAATTCCAAGAAGTCACAGCTGCTGTTCCATAGTGACTGAAAGAATAAAGCAGGCCAGATAGAGGGGTGCTGTTTCACACTCTAGGTAATCGCTGCCATGAGCAAATGGTGGCCCAGTGTGACCAGATGGTCTGGCTTTTGAAGAGTAGCTCAATATCTGAATTTTCATATGTAATATTCCAATTGTTAAAGATTGTCAAAAAATTCAATTTTTCAAAAACATGGCCTGAGGCAGTCAAAGCAATCCTCTGGCTACCAGTTGCCAACCTCTGCTTGCAAGATAAACAGCCCCACTGGAATTTGTTGTAGCTACAAAGTTCCCCGCTAGAGGATATTGCAGTGGTAATGGGCCTACTAGCAATAGTTATTAGAACTTGGAAATGATGTGAATAAAGAGCAGTCCTGACTTTAAAAACTGACTCTCTGCTTCAGGTACAAGAAGGGCCAGAAATTGTTCGCAGACGGACACTTACAGGTTTTACACAAGGAGACAAGGCATTCGGTGTTCATTCCGAAGGTATGTAAGGCAGACGCAGGCCTCTATGTGGCTCGGGCCCAAAACTCTAGCGGCACTCTCTCTTCCAGTGTCATCCTCCACGTGACAGGTAACCGCAGGCCGCCAATCACAAGAATAAACTGGATAACGCTGTGTGTCATCTATGTTAGCGTGTCCCTAATGTACTGGCTACTCACTCAGTAACTGTGGTGTTGGCACCGACGGACGTCATTCTCATGCACCCAAAGGACAATGCAGTTGTTTATTTTCCTGCACCTCCTGCAAAGCATCCCCTACCAAGTGCATCTTCAGCCTGGCCATCTTGCTTGTTTGGCTAATACCACATCCAGGTGAAATAATCAAATTTTCTCTAGTGCTTAATGTATCTGAGGAACGTGATAAATTGTTTGCAGTATATAAGGTGCATATTCTATACTCTAGAAAGAGATGTGTTCTATATAATATACAGAAAAATACACCATGTTTATTCCCTCCCAGTTTAAGGACATGCAGATGAAGGCTGGCATCGGCATAGAGTTGTGAGGTAAATTTCAAATCCAGTTGTTTGATCATTTATTAATTGTACTCATAGACATCTCTTTGAAGAGAGTAACAGTAGAAACATTGAACTGATGTTGTATTGTTGCATTAGCTGTCCTTTAATTTTCTTTTTCATGTCTTGTCTCATTTATTGAAATACATTCTATGTAATTTCAACATAGACACCATTCCTGAGTCTGAGGATGTCACTGTAAATAATCACTCCTCATGTTGATCTGACGAGTTCAACATTGGAGAACAGACGTGGTCAACGTTAGATGGAGTTTCCATCTTCCATCAGCTCTGCACGTCGTGCAGCAAGATGGGACGGGGGCTGCAGGGGTGCACCAATATGATTCCTGCCATTCTGTTGATGTGCTTTGGGCAGCCACGTCTACAACTGCAACCAGGTCCTTCTGCTTGTAACCTTGATTCTGCCGCTGACCATTGTTTCAGTCTGCAGCAAGGCATCTCATTGCCTCAGTTTCCCACCTGGAAAATAAGTTCATCATCTACCTCCTGGGCAATTGAGAGTTTTCATTTTCTGTCTAGTAAAGATCTGGAAAATGAAAAGCTCACTATGAGTGCTAAGGGTAATTATATTGCTTAATGTAATTTGTCATCACACTGGCCTCCTGCCCACGATTTCTTTTTTTAGATGCTGTTACTTTAGAATATTAAATTAAAGGAGTGTTGTTAATATGTAATTTCCAACTATTCCCATGGGGGGAAATGATGTTTTATGAATTGGAGCTTAAATTCCTTTCTAATTTCTTAAGATTACATCATTTCTAAAGACTTGAAATTAAACTCAGGAGGATACATTTAGTATGTTCTGGGTGGGGGGAAGTGTGTAATAAGATGGTATAAGATGAATTCTATTTTTTTTATAATTATCACTGTAATATTAAAGAATGTTTTATGCCTTTCTAAAATACATTATTCAGAAAAGAGCATTTTTTTCTTCCTTTTAAAAATAAACATGAATAAGAGAGGCATTTGTTTTTTAGATTTTAAATGTAGTCTTGTCATGCTAGGGAAAAATCTTCAGTTGAAAGAATAATTCATTGCAGATTTTTGATGAGGGGAAGGAATTAATTATGTTGCTGGAAGACTGTCTACAAATAATCAAAATATTTAAATGTAATATATTCAAGTTGATATTAAAAAGTTACTGAATGTTATCTGAAGATGTGAAACGTTTAGTCAAGTAAAAATTTGGCATATTATTTCTTGTGCTACGTATTGAATTTAATTAAAAAATGAAATTTCTTAATTTTCTTCCAAATTTTGACAGACACCTATTAAAAGCTTGCATACACAACACCTAGGGAATTCATAGTCTCTGAACTTTCCTATCCTTTTTGTCCAATTTCAAATATTTTGTATATCTTGCCTAACTGCTATTGCCTGCGTTAAACCTATTCAAATCCAAAGAAAGCAGGCAGGACGAGGTAACAAATTCTCTCTCTTTCCACTTCCTCTTTTTTGTTAATTTGGCAGAATATCCCTTCTCATTTTGTCAACTTGATTGAATTTGTGCCTTGGGGTTGTTAAGGCATGGGAATTGCTGGTTTCCTTTACCTGATGCATGCCAGTTAATATTAATCCCTTGGGAAATAGAATGGGATATACATACATCCATGATGTATGACCAAAAAAGGCATGTAAAATTCTTTCTCTGTGTGTGTGTGTGTGTGTTTACACATACATACCTAGAGCTCAAATATTAGACAGAAGTTCCATGCTGATATTCAAGATATAGTTCATATAGCTTTCTATATATCTCTCTATCTACCTATTCATTTGAACTATTGATTGACTATCTGGTAATTCCCACAGCAATGAAGAATAATTCAGTTATTCTTCTGGTTATACTTTAAATTCAAAAACTTAAGTGTGATTTTCCTAAATGCTGGGATTTCTGTCTTGATCAAAAAATTCTCCTATGAAAGTATGAACTGAAGTTACTGGTTAAAAATGTAAAACGTAGGAAATGCAAATGATGTTTCTATTTTAAGGTATATACATGATTTATACCCATTTACTTCTAGAGACAATTCTGTAAAGTTAGTAATATCAAAATATTTTCAACAAGAAAATTAAAATGAAAAGAAAGGTTAAAAATCATGTGTCCTGGAAACCTTGAAGAACTGCGAAACAAAATGCACCTTGAGCTTCCCGTAAGGCAAAATCATTGAGTTTTCTAGCTCTGATTTTCCAGTAGAAGGATGTGTAAACATTTGACGTGATAGTTTTTCACACTAAATTCCAGGAGAAATTCACTGTAGGAATCTTTACATTTGAACCTCTAAATATTCTATACAACCTAAAATATTTGAACAAGAAGTAGAAACAATTTTGCTATTTTGTCCCATCTCCTTCCCCCTCCCTGCCCCCCTGCCCTTGTCCCTACCAAAGTGACATTTAACTTAAGGTTTTTAACCTATCATGCACTTCTTCTCTCCAGCCCATTCTTCCAAGAATTCTCTTACTATATTCTACCCCAGCTTCATGTGGCTTAACTGCTGCTCATCCTCCGGTTCCATTTGAGACACAACTTCCCGGGGAAGCCTTCTGACCTGTCAAGTCCAGGGTAGACGTTCCTGCCAAGTGCACTGCCGGCACCTGAGCTGCCTGCCCAAGCCATGTCCCTCAACGCACAGCAGCAGAATTGGGTGTTTGAGCACTTGTCTCCTCTGGCGAGGCAGCAGGATCCGGGACAGCCCTGTCGTGGTCATATTCCCAGCACCTAAGACATAGCCATACACAATAAATATTTTTTGAATTGAACTGTTGTCAGAGGTAAACAGGTAGACCTAGCTTGTTCCCTCCCCCACTTTTTAGAGGGAGGAGGGGGGAAGCGTAAAAGAGCAAGATTATCCTTCCCTCTTATGGACATGAGCCAGTTCTAATCAGGCTCCAGCTTGCAGCATGCACGAGACACTCGCACCTCATCTGCAAAACTTACGTGAGAACCCTCCAGACCCCCTGGGCCTGATCGAGAATTTAAACTTCAAAATAGATTCTGGCTCCTGGGGTCAAAATAATAGCGAGGAGGAAAGAGGAAAGGTCCAGGATCTTTGTTCTGCCATTTCAGAGCAGATGAAATCAGGCATAAATCACCATCAGGTGTAAGGGGACAAGTGGGTGTCTCCACCTTCGGTGACTAAATCCAAACTGCCAAAACCAGAATTGACGTACTTCTATAGAACACTACACAAATTGTCAATATTTAATTGTAGCTGGAACTCAGTGATCTGGTTGTGAACAGATCTTACATGAAACCAGCATTTCACACATACTTGTAAATATAAAAGAAGCCAAATCCAAGAATTTAAGAGTATTTGAATTCCAAATGAAGGAAGGAAAGAGTATCTCATCTTGTTCTGCTTTATGTTTGTCTTTATTCATAACCATTCCTTACTAAAAATTGCCATCTGAAGCTCTTGACATCCCTGTTGTATGTACAGCATTTTAAGTGTGGCCATGAAATAAGTTGGTTGAAACAAAATAAAATATCTCCTCCTGGTATGCTCTGATATTGTGCGTGTCAATGCAAATGCCAAAGCATGACAGACTATTTTCCATTTATAATAAGCAGAATTTTGAGCTGCATCAGAAAGCGAAAAGATTTGCGTTCGCTAAATGAAACAGTGTCCTTCTTAAAGCAAAAACAATTCATTTTTTCCGCTCTCATCACAGGAGATGAGATTTGAATGTCATAAGCTGTGCATGAATTCAACCTCAAAAACAGAAAGCACGAAGCTGCTAATTTGGCCTTTTTCCGTGATTCCCCATACCACTGTTCTTTGTGTTGGTGAGTTTATATAATATTGTGAGTTTGGTGAGTTTGGAGGCATGATACCCTTCCTGGTGAACCAGCCTTTGTGTTTAGAGTTTGAGTGTTTGGCCTGTTCACTCTTCGTTCTATGCAACATGAGTTTCATTTGTGTAAGCCGGGACATGGCAAGTCTGATTCATTGGATCCTTCTTTTTCTACCATAAAATTAACACTCTATCCTCCTTAAAGGACAAGAAATCAAACAGAATTGCATAAATAAAAATGTTTGTGTGAGTGTATTCCCAGTTAACACAACAAATACTGGATGAAATCAAAATATATTTTAACCGTACAAGTAGATAGAAAAAATAGATCAAATCTGATTTTTCTTTAAACCAGAACAATAACAGTTACATAATGTGAGGTTTTCAATCTGTATTTGGATGGCTCCCTGCTATAGCTCTTTTTCTATTTGAAACCCACTTAAATATCAATACTTTGAAATAACAGCTCCCGAGCTGGACAATAAAATGAAATCAACTTTTCCCTTTGTCATTCAGCAACTGTTCTTTTTCCAAGAACTTTATTGATCCAAACAACTACAAAATGATATTTTTATCTTATGTTAGCATTAAAAAAATCATATAATGAAATTTTTGGAGGTAAAAATTCAATGAAATATAAAGGAACATACTTTACCCATGGCAAATTGTCTCCAACACATATTACTCTGATGATGCCAGAGAGGCACTTTTCTTTGTGACGAGTATTAAGCACACCCCCACTCATAGAAGCTGTTGGCAAACAGGATCATCCCGAAATGCAGACAAAGTAGAAAATCACTTAGCTGGCAGGATCAGAGAGGCTAACCTGCCCGTTT